AGGAAACAACGGTTTGTTTGTTACATGTGTAACATTATAGACAGCTTACGTGTGTCAATATTTTCTTTGGTTTGTATCGTTGTTTGGTTTGTTAGTTTTTGTGAAAGGGAGATAATGTATTTATATATTGTTATATAATATCCTGTCATATAATTAATGTTGTTATTGTTATTTATAAGACCTCTTGGGGCGTGGAAGGGGTTTCAATGATGTAGTCGGACGGAGACATTATTTTCTGGGGTGGGGAATTATTGTTTTTGGCCGGGGATAGTTCTCTTTCGAAGTTGGGGTTTTGACTTTCAGGGCTTGGTGTATGTGTCTATATGGTGGCGGTCTGTAAATAATCAAACCTGTACCAGCCAATCCAGTGATCAACATCATGACCATCGATCTACGCATTTGGGATACGATGACATGTGTCAACCAACTCAGTGAGCCTGACCCCCCGATCCCGTTAGTCGCCTCTTACGACAAGAATGTGTTACGGAAGATCATTTCTGACCCGGATCTTCACGGGTCAGATGAATTTGAAACAACAAGATATAATCATCTTTGGGTCTTAATGATGAACACTAACTGCTCTTGCCTCAGAAAGATATGGTTGAAGGTTTCCCATACAAAACAATATTGTAACGTCGGGTATCACCTAAGTGGTTCACCTGTGAAGATCCAGGTTATGTATGTCTTCAGCAGCCCATGCTTGTCGTAAGAGACGACGAACGGGATTGACACATCAACCAGGGTCGTAGCTACCATTATTAAACAAAAAAAACGCGCTTGCACATGATTGATGCTAAAAAGGTTGGGCAAGCCCTCAATACTATCTTAATCTAAAGCTTTGCAGCCTATCGGACTTTCACGAAAACATTGTCTTGCTATGCGCCTGTCAACATATCCCAATTGCGTAGATCGATACTCATGCTGTTGATCACTGAACTGTCTGGTCTAGATTCGATTATTTACAGATCGTCGCCATATAGCTGGAATGCTGCTGAGCGCGGCGTTAAACAACAAACAAATAAAACCTGGATGGCGCTGTCATCTTATGTGCGGGGCGGTGGGGTAGCCTAGTGGTTAGTGCGTTCTCTCGTCACGCCGAAGACCCGGGTTCGATTCCCCACATGGGTACAATGTGTGAAGCCCATTTCTGGTGTCCTCGGCCGTAATATTGCTGGAATATTGCTAAAAGCGGCGTAAAACTAAACTCACTCACTCACTCATCTTAAGTGCCATAATTCGCAGAGTTGCGTCCCTTTGGGTAGGAGGGCCATAATTCGCTATGCAGAGTTACGTCCCTTGGGTGGGAGTACCATAATTCGCAGTGCAGAGTTGCGTCCCTTGTCCCTTGGGTAGGAGTGCCATAATTCGCAGTGCAGAGTTGCCTCCCTTGGGTATGCCAGAAACAGAACCTGTGATAATGGTTCGCCACGACCATGTTTCTGGGTGTGTTAGCATTATGCTCGTGCTCATGAGTTTCACCAACGTGGTATGCGTCCGAGACCTGCATCTCTTGGTTTCTTCTCACACTAACACCGGGATATAACTAGAAGATTGTCATTCCCGACGTTCAGCAACACCACAAATATCACACCACCGATGAAAACTTACCCGAAATTCGCTTTACACTGATTTTGTAAATAAATTATAACCAATCATTTTTCTTATGATTGAATCTTCATTACAGTGCTTGTCAAAACGTCTCGTTTAGAATATCTTTGATCCGTGAAGGTCCGAGTTAGAACATAATGGTCTTCAGCAACCCATGCTTGTAAGAACCCAGTGAAATGGAATCGGGTCATCATAATGTATGACCCCTGTGACGATGGAATTGATCTCCAGTATCCCATAGTTAGATTTCGCGACAAGGCATTGTCATGTAAAGCGCATTACGTTCGTAACCAACTATATGGCCCATATCGCCCTGGAGGAGGGCATTAAATAGAGGTTCGATAATCAAGGATTCACTTCGCCTTTCCCCGGCTCTATTACTTGCAGATTTATTACTCCCGGTTGGAACATAAAACGACATTCATTTAGTTCTCCTTTGACCTTGTCTGTTTCATAAATGAAATGTTTGTAATGTAATGCTCCAAGCATAACCAATACACTGCTTAGTTCAGGGGCCCGACCCACAAAACGTTCGTAACACTATGCCATTCGTAAGCCTATGATAAAGTATAGTGTTACGAAAGGTCGCAACGTTACGAACGCTTTGTGGATTGGTACCCAGGCCATTGCATACCCTTCAAGCTTCAAATCGGGTTCGATTCCCCATATGGGCACAATGTGTGAAGCCCATTTCTGGAGTCCCCGCCGTGACAGTGCTGGAATATTGCTAAAAGCGGCGTAAAACCCAACTCACTCACTCACTCTGGCGTGCCCCACTGTGATATTGCTAGACTATTGCTCAAAGCAGCGTAAAAACATACTCGCTCACTCCAGGTTCGTCCAGGTGAAAACCCGACTGACAAAAGTAGCATTTAATAGTAATATAATGCCTTCCAATAAATCCTATTCACATACATATGCTGATAAACAGTGATATATCTTCCAGGAGATCTCCACCACAATGTTGTGTTGGATTCAAATAGTTGCTATTCAAGGAGTAATGAAAAACAGGTATCTTGTTTGGCCCTAGCTAGTATCCCTCCTTCGAGGCAAACCTAAAATCAATCGTTACGGGAATCGAATAGCGATCTGTTGAGGGAAATCATGTTTTGTGATAACCGATCACGTCAACCGTAATATACATCGAAATAATCAATGTAGTGTCCATAAAGTATATTATACGAACATATGTGTCATATTGATATTAAGAGACGAATGTCAGAATTCTTCTATTTCCCGAGCGTGAACTATGGTAATGGAATAACTCTTACATTAGATTCGTAAGATCTGTTTGAAACACATGTGTAATAATTTCTTCATTACCCCCAATTAGCTCTTGATCATTTTGAGGTCCCCTTTTGAAAAATGCACCAATCACGATTACCGTAAATACAATAATCGAATGACGTCGACAAATTTTGTATCTTGTGTGACGTCGTTCCGACTCTACGCCTTTCTTCATTATTTTTATTAAACGCTTTCGCTCATTTGATACCAAATCATTAACTCGTTTAATAAAAATGGTATTTCACGAAAGCGAGTTTAGTATTCTGTATTAGTATATAACTGATAGAAACTGCCTACGGTGTGATGACTCTCAGCTTTCCGCGAGTCAAGAAAGGTCCAATGCCATTGTGACACATGTATTAGCATTGTGACGTCATAAATAGAGGATACTAAACGACCTTCTGTGTAATACCATTTTTATTAAACGAGTTTAAGATTTGGTGCTAAATCGTTCACGAGTTCAATAAAAATGGTATTTCACGGAAGCGAGTTTAGTATTTTGTATATTACTCTCCAACATAAATTGATAGAAACTGCCTACGTAGTGTGATGACTCTCAGCTTTCCACGAGTCAAACAAGGTCTAATACCATTGTGACAGAGGTATTAGCATTGTGACGTCATAACTGTAAACCATTATGACGTCAAACGTCTAGCGGTATTACACTCGTGTAATATTGCTGTAAAAATATTACACAGGGTGCCGTTGTACAAAACAACCTTAGCGCTAAGGCTACCTTAAGTCTATGTTAAAGTATGGGAGTTACGGTCACCTTAGCGCTAAGATCGCTTTATACAACGGCATCCTGCAGTATCTTCTACGGGCGATTAATAACTGTAAATATTACACTGCAGTATCTTCCACGGGCGAGTAATAACTGTAAATATTACACTGCAGTATCTTCCACGGGCGAGTAATAACTGTAAATATTACACTGCAGTATCTTCCACGGGCGAGTAATAACTGTAAATATTACACTGCAGTATCTTCCATGGGCGAGTATAAGTGGTTCACTGGTCACGAGGGGGACATCGGTTGATGTTCCTTCTATGTTTGTTTATGTTCTCTGAGCCCGAAGGACATCTTACTGAACACCTCAATGTTAATTTTGAATTGTTTGAAGCACGGGTATTGGATCATAATAAGCAGTACCGGAGTTAGGCAACAGCCCAAACACTACTAACACGAAGTACCAAATGAATTCCCACAGTTCGGCACTTCCAGCGGGTAACATAGAAAATGTTACTCGCTTGTAAGCGGGGTACATTGATCTCAATGATTAGCTCAGCCAATCAGAAAACGACATTTATGTGTCAGGTAAGATAATAAAAAATATTTCAGCTACACAGAGGTACGTCCGTACGATCTTCATCTTTCCGAGCACACGCTCTGTCGGTTAGACTACGGGAGCCGTCTCCTGAAGGTGAAATATTGTGTGTTATTATCGTGGTAGTCGGGTGGCGGACATATGTTAATACCGTGTTAATTGTGCAAATTACCCACGTCCGGATGACAGATCAATACTCACCGTGTTATAGTTACTGATTTATGAGGAAATACAACAGATAATCGAACTGTCATCTGCATAATACAAGTATTGTATGATGTTGTTGAAAAAAATATGGCCAATGCGGATGTGAAATAGGAGAACCCGTTTACAGAAGAGATAACCAGTCTCTATCACCATAGCAACAGCATCTATTGACATGTAGCATATGTGACAATTGGGATTACGCTTTCATAGTTAAGCACAAATTCTAGTACATTTTAGGCTGCGTCTTGTCCGGGATTCGAATCAAAACTGCCAGAATAATGTACACCCTTACCACACCCTTACCTTAATACAATATGCAAAAAAATGGGTCCACAAGGGGTACCCAGTTCGACGTTAAACAACAACAAACAAACCAAACGTACAGATGTCTGTCAGTGCGTACGTATGTATTCTCCAATATTGAACCCTTGAAATTAGTTATTCGGGGTTCTCTAGTTTAACATGAAGTCTAACCCGTCGTGATATGGACGTAACGTTTTAGCGTGAAGTTTACACTCAAACATAGTCACGAACATATCATTGGTGTTGATTATGACATTTTTTGTTTCAGCTCGGTCAGGATCTTGTGCTGTCATGCCCAAATGGTGAGTACACACAATACTAAATTGTCCATTCTCAGACATGTATACAAGATCGATAGCAATATACAACCTCACTTACGATCGGAAATATACAAGATCGATAGCAATATACAACCTCGCTTATGATCGGAAATATACAAGACCGACAGCAACATACAACATCACTTATGATCGGATGGTTAGGTTGTGTGGCATCATATCAATACCCGGGTTACAAAATGTCGACACCTGAACTACAGCTTCTAAATACCCACACTACCTGGAGAAACCTGAGGTTCTATCAGTAGGTACCACAGCTACAACAGTTATGACACGTAAATAACTCGATTACAGTACGTACATACCCAGCTTCATCTAGATACCCTCCCTGAAACAGTTAGATACCCAGCTACAACTATATACCCAGCTACATCTAGATACCCTCCCTGAAACAGTTAGATACCCAGCTACAACTAGATACCCTCCCTGAAACAAATAGATACCCAGCTACAACTATATACCCAGCTACAACTAGATACCCTCCCTGAAACAGTTAGTTACCCAGCTACATCTAGATACCCTCCCTAAAACAGTTAGATACCCAGCTACAACTAGATACCCAGCTACATCTAGATACCCTCCCTGAAACAGTTAGATACCCAGCTACAACTAGATACCCTCCCTGAAACAGTTAGATACCCAGCTACATCTAGATACCCTCCCTGAAACAGTTAGATACGCAGCTACAACTACAACTACATCTAGATACCCTCCCTGAAACAGTGAGATACCCAGCTACATCTAGATACCCTCCCTGAAACAGTTAGATACCCAGCTACATCTAGATACCCTCCCTGAAACAGTTAGATACCCTGCTACAAATAGATACCCAGCTACAACTAGATGCCCTCCCTGAAACAGTTAGATACCCAGCTACATCTAGATACCCTCCCTGAAACAGTTACATACCCAGCTACAACTAGATACCCAGCTACATCTAGATAGCCTCCCTGAAACAGTTAGATACCCAACTACATCTAGATACCCTCCCTGAAACAGTTAGATACCCAGCTACATCTAGATACCCTCCCTGAAACAGTTAGATACCCAGCTACAACTAGATACACAGCTACATCTAGATAGCCTCCCTGAAACAGTTAGATATCCAACTACATCTAGATACCCTCCCTGAAACAGTTAGATACCCAGCTACAACTAGATACCCTCCCTGAAACAGTTAGATACCCAGCTACAACTAGATGTCCAGCTACATCTAGATACCCTCTCTGAAACAGTTAGATACCCAGCTACATCTAGATACCCTCCCTGAAACAGTTACATACCCAGCTACAACTAGATACCCAGCTACATCTAGATAGCCTCCCTGAAACAGTTAGATACCCAACTACATCTAGATACCCTCCCTGAAACAGTTAGATACCCAGCTACATCTAGATACCCTCCCTGAAACAGTTAGATACCTAGCTACAACTAGATACACAGCTACATCTAGATAGCCTCCCTGAAACCGTTAGATATCCAACTACATCTAGATACCCTCCCTGAAACAGTTAGATACCCAGCTACAACTAGATACCCTCCCTGAAACAGTTAGATACCCTGCTACAGTCAGATGCCCAGCTACATCTAGATACCCTCCATGAAACAGTTAGATGCCCAGCTACAACTAGATACCCTCCCTGAAACAGTTAGATACCCTGCTACAACTAGATACCCAGCTACATCTACATACCCTCCCTGAAACAGTTAGATATCCAGCTACATCTAGATACCCCCCCCTCTGAAACAGTTAGATACCCAGCTACAACTAGATACCCAATACATCGCGATACCCTCCCTGAAACAGTTAGATACCCAGCTACAACTAGATACCCAGCTACAACTAGATACCCAGCTACAATTAGATACCCAGGTACAACAAGATACCCGACCTACAACATGTAGATACCCGAGCTACATATAGATACCCGCTGATTCTGTTGTAGCTATCATTACGCTCTCTGGTCTTTCTAAAACACGGGGTAAGTTGTATGCAGGCATGACATTGTGATCAGTGTTGCTGTAGATGTTGTAACCATCTCACCTTCTTCAACCCGTCATCCCCATTTTCATTCTCATTGTCTTCAAGATCAGGTCTTAGAATCAAGTTTACTAGTGAACATCAAATGGCATCCTTATAATTCTTCCACCCATGTGAAAGGCGGTGGGGGAGTCTTGTGGTGAAAACGCTCGCTCGTCACACCGAAGACTCGGGTTCAGTTCCCCACATGGGTACAGTGTGTTAACCACATTTCTATTGTCCTACGCCGTGATATTGGTGGAATATTGCAGAAAGCGTTTTAAAAGCATACTCAGTCACTAGCTCCCATCGATTGGGAACCAGGGTGAAATTCGAACCAGCACCCATTTGTGCTATAGGCGACCATCGTAACCGGCTTGGTCATTGGCAGCACATGTCATCGTACCATAATAACAGCAGTAGACAACAAACAACTTAACTCCCTTTCTGAAACCCGTCGAGATCCGAGTATTAGAATTGTTGTTCCGCAACCCATGCTTGTCGACTAACGAGGCGACTAACATGATCGGGTGGTCAGGCTCGTTGGCTTGCTTGACACTTGTCATCGGTTCCCAATTGCATAAGTCGATGCTCATGATGTTGATCACTGGATTATCTGGTCCAGACTAGACTATTATCAGCAATATAACTAAGTCATTGCTGAGTGCGAAGTTAAACAACCAACCAACCAACCAACCCTTTCAGCTTATGTCCACAAAATTATCGTAGTTCTATTGTCGTCGTAAGTCAACGTTAAAGTATGTAATTTACGGTCGTTGGGCGCTACGACTTCGGTAACAGGGCCGTTTAACGTTTAACGATTTAGTTAGATTAACACGAAGAGAGAACTTTTCCCAACCAGAAAGACATTGAAATACTGCCCTGAAAAACATTTTTAGGTATGCAAGAATGATTTTACGACGCTTCGCCTGATCACCATGTCATGTCTCTGATAAACTGGATTCCTTTCGTAGACGTTGCGGCGTGCATGTAGTTGACGTAGATGTGAATGCACGTGGTATAGTTGTGTATAGTGACGTAGTTGTGGACGTATGTGTGCACGTTTCAGTGTAAACATCCAAGACATTGATCTGGGCCGGGTTCCACAAAGCGATCTTAGCATTAAGCCGATCTTAATCCTTTGTTAAAGCATTCGACCTACGATCATCTCAACATTAGCTTTGTGGAGCGGGCTCTCTAGCATATTAGCATGGGGCATGATGTAAGAATTACTGTTTTGTAGACATATTTACATAAATGTATGTTTCGTACTTGAATTTGATTCGCTTGAACATCCGGGTTAGAAGTGGTCTTCAGTAACCAATGCTTGTCGTAAGAGGCGACTAACGGGATTGGGTGGTGAAGCTCGCAGACTTGGTTGATGCATGTCATCGTATCCCAATTGCGTAGATCAATGCTCATGATGCTGATCACTGGATTGTCTGGTCCAGATTCGATTATTTACAGACTGCCGCAATCTGCATAGCTGGAATATTGCTTAGTGTGGCGTTAAACAACAAACAAACAATCTGAAATTTGCATCAAGAAATTTATCAATAAATGGAAGCATAACTTAACTACATTGTCACAAAGGATACACAAACAATAAACGGAAACAGACCAATCGGATAAAGAAATTGATTCCTATAATTCCAAAACCAGTAACAACACCAACAAATATTTGGTAAAGGTTGACATATTTAAAGAAACTCTTTCAAATAAACCACATTTCTAATAATCATTGTATTGATTTATCTAAAGAATTGTACATGACAGGGGTGGAAATAACTTTAAATTGCTAGTGTACTCCGGTGCAGTGGCACATGTAAAATCACTTGCCCTGATAATCTTTCCACTATACCGGCCGTTTTCATGTTGATTTTTTAAAATAAACAACATAACTAACATTGGAATATCAACAGGACACCGGTACAGTGTGATATACAAATTTGCTTGCCCGACAGAAAAAAACACTGGACTCGGGCGTCGGGCAATGGGTTATTTCCACCCCTGCATGATAAGGACACTAAATGCATCGGGGAATGATCCCAAACCGAAACAATTGTTTTTGTACAAATATCGGTGCAGGTTCTTTGTCCTCATGATGATTTTCTCTGTAATTTCTTTGAGTGACATTTTAGACGTTAGGAAGTACAATAGAGACAAATGTTTCGGATAACAGCTTCTTCATTTCGTGAGTGTGACGTTTCGATACAGATTCCTGTACCGTTGCCAAGCTGTAATATGTTTTCCATAAAGTTTGTCTTTATTGATTTGCTCTGTAGCTACACATTGGAACGGTAATAGCCGAGATGCTGGATGGGAAACATTGCGCTCTCATCTTCACAAAAACTGTTGTGTGTCGTATGTTCGTATGTCCAGGGGTCCTTCGATTTCAACCGCCTCTGTGGTGTAGTGGTTAGAGCGTCCGCCCGGAGAGCGGAAGGTCGTGGGTTCGATCCCTGACCGCGTCATACCAAAAGACGTTAAAATATGGTACTTGTTGGTCCCTGTCTGGCGCTCGGCATAAATGGGTACAACAAGGACTGGTCGGCTCGGAGTCAGTATAATGTGTCTGGGTGGGGTATTCATGCTTCACTGCGGCATGGTATCTCAGTGGGCTAGCACTATAAAACCAGCTTAAGTCTGGGCTAGTACAAGCAGCCGCACATACACATACACATGCATGCACGGCGTCATATGAGCGAAATATTCTCAAGCACGACGTTAAACCCAATTTCACCTCACCTCACCTTAGATTTCAGGATCCTTACACACCAATACAGGGGTAGTAGGGTAGCCTAGTGGTCTAAGCGTTCGCTCGTCACGCTGAAGACCCGGGTTTGATTCTCCACATGTGTACAATGTGTGAAGCCTATTTCTGGTGTCCCACGCCTTGATATTGCTGGAATATTGCTAAAAGCGGCGTAAATTCAAACCCACTCACTACATATCAATACACGTCCCAAATATATTCATTATTCTGTTTACGGCATTCATTCGGTATGATCTGTCGTCCCGCGTCACAACGATGTTTGTGATTGTAAATAATCCAGGTTAGGGGCCTGATGTTGTACTTATTAGATGTTATTGTGTATATCGTAATCGGCTTCAGTTTCATTTTTGTCACTTTTCTGATCGTTTTGTTTTCACTTAGAGTGTGTTCTTCTGTTCAAAGACGCATGTGTGTTGAAGAATATATATACAATATTACTGGAATATTGCGGAAAATCATTCATATAATACATTTTTTAAATTAATCAGATTTTTAAAACAAACTGAAAAATAACATTTACGTTTATGCATATGATCGTGACCGATGAAACCTGCAAACATGGAGAGATATATCTCAATGACAGTCTTGGACACGGGTACAACAGAGGTCGTCAAAGAGTTACTGCTCTTCATAGGAGTTGCCTCCCTTGAAATTTAAAGGTTCCCAGCGATCATGAACCTGGCGTGTTTTGACCGCACTATATCATCATATCATGTTTCACCGAAATGTGACTTTCCCCCTACACTGTTCTTGCTCGCCAAAATTTAACCGAATTTGTGCTCAAATCGACATTGAACCCCTCTGATTCGTGTCGCAAAACACTACATATCATCCCCATTGGTAGATCAATGTTCATGATGTCAGTCACTGGATCGTCTGGTCCAGACTCGACGATTTACACCGCCGCCATATAGCTGGAATATTGCTGAATGCGGCGTTAAACAACAAACAAACAAAAGAATTCGAAATCGTAAAACGCTAAACGCCATATCCATATCATCGAGCTATTGAGTGACAAATCATTATTAGGGACCGTTCATATTTATGGCCCCATGTACAATGTGAACGACCCCACCTAAAATTTATGTACAAAGTAAGTGAGCCCCCTGCATGTGTACAAAATCAATGCCCCCAATATCTCTTAAGCATAATTTTTAGATATTTTTATATACAAAATTGCTGACCTCTCCCAGAAACACACGTGTACAAAATTGATGACCCCTACCTCCCCAGAACAAAGTGGGTGGACCCCCCCAGATTTCATCATCACCCCCCTAGCCATAAATTATGAACGGTCCCTTAAGTTTACGTTTCCAACTTTGTGAAGATAACTGTTATAACTCCGCATAACCAATGCCTCGCCTAAAATTTTCCTGTCAGATTGCGAGGTAATGGTGGACCGAAATATATAGCATAATATTATGTTAATGCTTTAATATTATGTTAATGCTTTAATATTATGTTAATGTTTTGCTAATATATAGAACAGCCTCCTGATCCCCAACTAATTTCTTCTCAAATTCATGACCGATGATATTTCATGTTATTCAGTGTAGAAAGCAGATGCGCAGGTAACTGTAGGTGTGTCGCTCGACGTTAACACAGGGAAACTGTTCAGTGCATGTTTTAAATGGTTTGTCGCCTATATGTTCAAAGACTGGACCGAGATCTACGCCAACTGCTATGTCGTAGTGCCGGACTCCTCGTTGTCGTGGACGCAGGCCCTAGCCACGTGCAGCAGGTGGGTGTAATTTTATTTTTTTAAAATTCTAATGATATAATAATAACGTGTAAAATACCTAGACAATGAATGTGGGTAAAAATAAATCCATCGCTGTTTGATTACGATCGTTTTCAAAATAATTATGAGCTGGGAGGATACAGTTTTGTTTTCTAAACATAGACCTACACATGGTCAATCTTTCTGTTATAACTGACTTTATTAAGTTTTTGAACGACATTTTAGAAGTGATACTCATAAAAGGACGTTTATGGATGTCAACTTCTGATTTCGAGGAACACGTCGTTTCGGAATATATTTCTTATTTCTTCTTCAAAATAAAGAAGTTAATATCCATAACATTCTAGGAATTAACTGACTTTCATTTAACATGTCGTTCTTTAATTTGTAACCTAGGTTTGTAAAATAGTTGTGACTACTTTTACGATTTTCAACATTTTTCGGTGCAGATTTGGCGGGAGGTTGGCAGAGCCCGTCGGATATGACGTCACTGAACAAATTGGAAACCTTTTAAAGAGTGATGCTGCCACAACGAAACGGGTTTGGACAGGTAATGTTGTTTTCAAACTCTGTTGCAGCGCCAAACAAAGTTGTGAATTCCTTACATAGGTGTCAGTGACCACACCCTTGTAGAAAACCCATTATAGCGAAACGCGATGACATGGAGCTTCTATAAAAGAGTCATGGCACCGTCGCTATTCGGAGCTTTGAAAGTGTCGTCTGGAAAGAAATGATGGGTCCGTCATTGTATCAGCTGCTTATATATTTACCACTTTTATTTCCAACTGGGCTGAAACGAACTGATTGCATTTATGTAATGCACAAAAATTCGAAAATGAAGTTTTAAAAACGCCTGAGGAGGAAGTAGCCATTGCGTTTTGTCGATTTTTCAGGTTACAATCGACGAGGTCATTCTACTGTCACCGACACCATCGGGTACTGGAGCGACGGTCGAGCAACCACCGTGGACGTCGGGGTCTGGGGGGTGTTCGAGCCCAAGGTGATGTCGGGGGACTGCGCGTATCTGCAGCAGAAGGACGGATCGTGGAAGATGTATATGGGGCAGTGCGACACGTTGATGCCTTTTATGTGCCAGGCGCTCCCCTGTCCGTCAGGTAGGTCCATCTCATTATAAACATCTGACAGTTCATTCCGAAAAAGTGAAGAATTCAGCACTACAAACTTACGAGGTGTATAACAGAGCAAGAATGAAAACGTGACGTCACGAGAGTGTGACGTCACCGGTGTAATAGTACACGTTGGCGCTTCACATGACAACTATCACAGTACCTTATGACGTAAGTTATGAAAGTCTGTTACCAACTTTGTTACTGGCAACACAATGCCCTGTGATGTCAGGCCTACTGATCCACTGCGTGATCCAGTGTGCCTGATTTCCTCTCAGTTTTCTCCCTTCTCAATGCGCATTGCCCTTATATAAGGCCAGCGATGTTGGGAGTTTCAAAATATAGCCCGGATTGACTGCATAACATTCTGATAAAGCATTCTCAGAAGGCTGTCAACTGAATTGAACCTTTTAAATACTACAGTGTGCAAAATTTTCGCAGGTCCTGTGGTCCCTGGCTAGTAAAAATTCATCAGGACCACTAAATGATAACTTTGCAGTGGTCCTGGTGGCCAGTGAATTTTGTATTGATAGTTAAGTAAATCTACGATTGTTATTTTGAACCAGTGAAGTACAGACAGGACCACTAAGTAGAGGGTAATGTGCGAGTAACTCTCCGTTCCTTAAAAATAATGGAGCCGAGGCTGTTTTAACTGTTTACTTGATCTGGGTTTCTTGTTAGTTATTAAAAGGGAATGAAACAACTTCAACTTGTTTTTATTTCGTAAAAACTAAACATTCATGTGGGAAATGACCTCAAATATGACAATTCAATAGGGCGATTCACCGATGCACCGATACATCATGATACATTTAGGTTTGATAAAGCTATCGTATCGTCAACTGGTGTATCGATATGAAACTATACACAACTTTTTTTCAAAACAGTATTATCTTAAACATGTTAAAGTACTGATTTAGAGAAAAACGTGCAGGTATGATAGTTACTTGTTTGTTTATTACAATAGTGTTATTGTTATACATAAATACCTTGAAATAAATAAATAATTTTAAATATAATACTGTGTCATTCTTTCAAGGTGTATGTATCGTGATACGTATCAAATCACAGGTAAAATATCATGATACTATCATGACATAGTGTATCGTTCCAGGTCTACAATTCAAGGAGAAAAAAATTATTGCAATAGTTGGTCACAGTAGACTATTGATATCTCAATAGTATGTTGAAATAGACAATCGTTATGTCAATAGTTGTTTCCCCCTCAATAATCACCCCTAGTTAATAGTTCGTACTTTACTTCTTAAAAAAAGTGAAAAAATAAAGACAATCTACCTACCTAACCTAAATTTTAAGGAGGTGTTATCGGAACCACAACATTTTTTTTTTCTTGCTTAGTAATCATCCTGTGTAATCAATTATTATCTCATTTTCCCAGGAACATTCCGCTGTGATTCTGGAAAGTGTATTGGCAGTGAAAACATGTGCAACGGTGAAAACAACTGTGGGGACTTCTCTGACGAGAGAAACTGCAGTAAGTACAAAATACTCAATTTATGTCCTCTGTGAGACATATAAGTCTGAGTGTCGTATCTGTGTTCAACTAGGGTATGGTAACCTGGTTAGTATACCGGTAGGTACACTGGGTTTCAATCCCAGCTTGACTGTTTTAGGTTTGTTTGCGCCATACCTGTACTGCTGGGTTAGATTTGATGAAGAACATGTTTTCATCACTGTTTTATGTATTTATGAATTGATGACATGAGCATTGGGTCGAACACAACTTGTTTAATCAAGTAAGGGTGCAAGAAGAACCATAATGCTTTTGGTCAACGACATCACAAGGCCTCCGGTTACAATGTACTATTAGTAAACAACTGATTGTTGATATAGATATATAGCAGAACATCCAGGACCACCTGCATCACTTGTCTGTCTGTCTGTGTGTCTGTCTGTCTGTGTGAGTGTGACAGAGTGAGTCTATTATTACGCCACTTTTAGCAATATTCCAGCAATATCACGGTGGGCTTCACACATTGTACCCATGTGGGGAATAGAACCCAGGCCTTTGGCGTGACGAGCGAACGCTTTAACCACAAGGCTACCCCACTGCCCTGTGTCTGAGTGTGTCTGTGTCTGTAACAGCCTGTGTGTATATAATTATGATGGAAACAGATAATTCCATTTGAATTGAAAAGGAGCCTAAGTGATCATGAGGTTCAAATCACAAGCAAGGGGAAATCTTGACTGACTTCATTTTGAGGTTTAGCATTGCCGCAAGAGCAGAGTGGAAAGGAAAATAATGTGGTTCAGGAATTGTGAGACTTTGAGGGTGTCTTCTGCTTCACAGTTAGTTAGGAAAAATAGTTTTTCGTCTGTACCTTCTCACTGGTTTGTTCCTTCTGTCAATGACAAGCAGTAAATGCATTAAGGAGTGAGTGAGTGAGTGAGTTTGGTTTTACGCTGCTTTTAGCAATATTCCAGCAATATCACGGCGGGGGACACCAGAAATGACCTTCACACAAAGTACCCATGTGGGGATTCGAACCCGGGTCTTCGGTGTGACGAGTGAACGCTTTAACCACTAGGCTACCCCACCACCCCAAATGCATTAAGGAGTAATTCAGGACACAAATATTCAGATTTTTCAATTGTTTCCCAGATTCCAAGTGTTCCTACTACCTGACTGGCCGCGAGGGAGTGGTGACATATCCCAGCGGTGATGGCAACTATCAGCAGAAGACCACCTGTCAGTGGGCCATAGAGGGAGCCATTGGTTCCAGGCTTCAGATTTCGGTGAGACAATTTACAACCACCTGTTTGCAATTTTTTTGGTTTGGATTTTAACTTTAGCTACCAGTGTTTGTCATAAAGGGCAGGAGGTCAGGATTGGTCACTTTGTTGATGCACATGACTGTATTCCACAGAGGTACAGATAAGCTGCGTATCTGCGTAAATTACGCAAATATTTATGTGGAAACTCAATTCCTATTAAGTCTATTGCGTACCAGTACGCTTGAATCTTTGTAAATACTCAATAAGTGTGATCTTACATGCGTACACACAAAAATGTCGAATCATAGCATGCGTACAGGTGGATAGACAAAATAACTGACGTATATTGAGAGGTTCTGTTTCAGGACATAAACTTGACAACTTGCAGTCTTTCTTATCGTTTCTCATATTACAGATCAAATATAAATAACATTTAAACTTTATTATATTTTTACAATTAATGAAAAATGGCAAAATACCCAATTGAGTTTTAGTGAGGTGAATACAATTTATTTGGTTACTCAAAGGAAAATAAGGATACCCAATTGAGATGAACGCAAGCGAGTACATAACTCAATGACCCCAAAAGTTGTTGCTCTGATCCCAGTAGCGTATATGATGCACATGATGTTAATCACTGGATTGTCTGGTATCCTCGAATTGTATTTTTTTATTGACTGTCATATAGCTGATTAGTAAATAAGCTTAAATAGTCTTATTCTTAATATCAACAAACAAATTGTCAAAACAGCTATATCACATTCAGTAGGGATTTATTTTCAGAATGTGTTATGCTTGACATGAAAGGTGAGCATATCGATTGTTTGCATACAGTATCAAGGCTCAGATATTTACAATCAGTCATAATACCGGAGTATTGCTGAGTGTAATGCTTACTACTAGTGCTGGGAATTGGTTAAAATTTCATAATTGATGATTGGTTCATTACAACCGATCAATCATTAAAAATAATTGGTTAGCATCATTTATGAAATTTTCCTGATTATGTTTGTTCATGCACAAAAAAATATATATAAAAACATGTAGTTCTTTGGGGTTTTGCAAACTGCGCAAAATGCATTTGCAAATTTCAAATCTTTAAAGGATGACTAGTATGTTAGGTGTAAATAGTCTCGTCTCGTCGATCACGAGAGTATGCGTGATCTCGTTGATCACGGGAATATACGAGAGGAGGCCATTTTGGATGTTTCGGGTCAGTGCGCCGTGGAAGTGTTACCACGTGCGAGATAGGAAAATAAAGAAGAATTTTAGCTACGAGCATTGTGTTATCTATCAATGGTAGCAGAGCGTGTGGATAAATATGGCACAGAAATTGTTGTTACCGCCCTTGCTGGACCAGGATAGTATCTATGATACATGGAAAAATGAAATAGAGGTTTGGCGACGATTCACGGAGCTACCGGATGAAAGAAGGGACTGGCGCTAGTTCAAGTGCTGAAAGGTACGGCAAAAGAGACTATCTTACAAATCCCAGTTGATGAATTAAATGAGAAGGATGGATTGGACAAATGTCTGAGAGAGTTGGATAAGTTGTATCTAATAGACAGTGTAGATGCGGCGTATATAGCTTTCTCGGAATTTTTTAGTCTCACAAGGAAAACTGAGTCTATGAGTGATTTCATCAATATCTATGAAAGAAAGTACCAAAAGTGTGTCAAATACGACATGCAGTTACCAGATGCAGTTTTAGCATTCAAACTTTTGGATAGTGTCAATCTGAATCAAAAGGATAAACAGCTAGTTTTGACGGCCACAGTAGATAAAAGATTTCAAACATCAAACTTGACCAATAATCCCCCAGCATTGGAAGGAATAACATCCAGTACAATTGTTGGGAATCATATCCGAGTATTGCATTCTGCTAAGAAAGCTTTCACTGAAGCAGAGTGTGACGATAGGATAAGGAGAGCCCTGAAAGCAAAAGTGAGGCCCATGGAGGGAATATACAGCATGGGAGAGAAAGTATACTACAAGTTCCCAGGTAAAGAAGAATGGAGGGGACCAGCCAGAGTTATTGGTCAAGACGGAGTTGTGGTTTTTCTCCGACAAGGTGGGATGGTGATCAGAGTTCACAGGAATAGAATGAGAAAAATCAATGAAGTTGAGACTCTTGACATTAAAAAGGGGGGAGGAAGAGAAAATGAAAGATAATGTGCCAGAAAGATGTGATAAAGAAGTTTGTTGTGATGATAAGGAACAGTCAAGTTGGGAAGAAATTGACCTTGGTGATCTCGAGACAATGAAAGATCAGAGAGAGACAAAACAGGGTGTAAGTAAGACCAAACTGAACTTTAGTGTGGGAACGTCCATCAGCTACAAGAATGATGAAACAAGGGAAGTCATGACAGCTAAAATTATCAGCAAGGCTGGGAAAGCCACAGGAAAGAATAGATTTTGGTTTAATGTTGAGTATACTGATCCAAAACAATATTTAGGTGTTAAGCAATCTCTAGATCTTAGTAGAGTCACAGACTTGAAGGTGAATGATGAAATACAAGAACAGAATTCAGAAGATGAAATTGATGATTCTGTCATGATGTTAGAAGATGTTTCTTGGATGGAAGCAAAAGAGGCAGAGTTAGACAGTTGGAAAAGAAATCAAGTATATGAAACAGTTGAAGATACTGGACAGAAATGTGTGTCGACGAGATGGGTATTGACAGTTAAAGAAAGTGAGAATGGAATCAAACTGAAAGCTAGACTGGTAGCAAGGGGTTTTGAAGATGGAGCTTCAAAAGTAGTGCAGTCAGATTCACCAACATGTGCTGGAGAAGCCTTGAAAATGATACTTGCTGTGATGGTCAACAAGCAGTGGACACCTCATGCTATGGATATCAAGACTGCCTTCCTACATGGGGCAATCATAGACAGGGATGTGTTTGTTAGACCTCCGAAAGAAGTAAACATGAGAGGAAAGGTCTGGAAACTCAACAAGTGTGTATATGGTTTAAATGATGCTTCACTGCAGTGGTATTTCCGTGTGAGAGAAGTGATGAAGGAACTTGGTGCAGTCGTGTCAAAGGTTGACCCAGCAGTGTTCATATGGTGCAGTGATGGAATTGAAGGTGTGCTTGCATCACATGTTGATGACTTCATATGGGGTGGAAACAACAGATTTGTTGAAGTTATACAGCAAATGAGAGCAATTCTTGATGTTGGGAAGGAGGAGATAAAAAGCTTTCAGATATCTAGGAATGCATCTTGAGTCAGATGAGGATCAAGTCTTGCTACAACAGAGTGGATACAGTGACAAACTTGCCTTTATCAATATTGACAAGGCTAGAGCAACTGACAAGCAACAACCAGTCTCAGAAGAAGAAAGAAAGGTAATGAGGTCTCGGTTAGGGCAAATACTCTGGTTGGCTCATCATACTTTCGTCCAGATATTTTGTTCAAACAAGTCGGTTATCAAGTTGTATAAAATCTGCAGTTGTGGCCAATCTCCTTGAAGTGAACAAGGTCATAAAACAGATTAAGAGTGAGAATGTTGTTCTGAGATATAGGAAGCTAGATGGAAAACTGAAACTGCTGACATACTCTGATGCCTCCTTAGGAAATCTACAAAATGGAGGGAGTCAGGGATCATATGTGATCTTCTTGATGAATGAACAAGGAAAAGTGTCGCCAGTATGCTGGAGTTCAAAGAAACTGAAACGAGTTGTGCGCAGTACTCTTGCAGCAGAGACATTAGCAATGGCAGATGCAATTGATACAGCAATATATATGTCAACATTGTACGCTGAAATTGTTTCCGAAAAGGTGAGCAGTCAGAAATGTTGTCGATTCTGTGTTTGACAGACTGTATGTCAGTATGGGAAGCTGTTCATTCCAATACATCTGTGACCGAGAAGAGGTTAAGAGTGGAGATAGCTGGCATCAAGGAACTTCAAGATGAGGGGATGGTTCAGATTAAATGGGTGAATCAATCTGAACAGTTGGCTGACTGCATGACAAAGAAAGGAGCTTCACCAGTTCGGCTTTTGCAAGCTCTACAAGAAAGCTATATTAATATAGTGACATAAGGCTGTGAAGAAACTGTGAAAGTGAAGAGACTACAGTGTTGTGATATAGTGACTGTAAAATAACAATATATATATCACTGAAGAGAATCTTGTCATGGTAAAAGACAGATGTAATGAGAACTGTGACTGTGGATGTCTATACCAAGATGAGGACTTTTATCATGTGTATTTTAAAACAAAACAAAACGACAAAAATGTGTTTTGAGCAGTTTTAATATATTTCAAATTTTTATATAAAAAAAAAATAGTTGAGATTGTAAATAGTCTCGTCTCGTCGATCACGAGAGTATGCGTGATCTCGTTGATCACGGGAATATACGAGAGGAGGCCATTTTGGATGTTTTGGGTCAGTGCGCCGTGGAAGTGTTACCACGTACGAGATAGGAAAATAAAGAAGAATTTTAGCTACGAGCATTGTGTTATCTATCATTAGGAACATTAATTTCTTGGAGTCTTTAAGATAAATTCAATCATGACGTGGAAAGAGCTTGTAGTGCTCATGAAATGTAACAGACAAAACCAACCTTGTGAAAAATATTGTTAACGCAAACAAGTGATCCAGAATTGTTTGTGTTTGACTATGAGAAAACATGATCGATTGCTTGGTCGTTTAGTCACTGCGACCAATCTTCGATTATTTCAATTAATCGGACCACCACTAATGCTTACATCAGAGAAACAACCCGTGAAGATATGGGTTGGAATTGGTCTTCAGGAACCATGCTTGTCGTAAGAGGTGATTAAATGAACCGGGTTGTCAGGCTCGCTGACTTGGTTGACACATGTCATCGTATCCCAATTGCATAGAACGATGCTCATGATGTTGATCACTGACCGCTGCCATAAAGCTGGATTATTGCTCAGTGCGGTGTTAAACAACGAACCAACCAACCAACCAATCCTTGTAAGAAAGCATCAAACCAAGCAGTAAATCATTTGTAAGCCTGTGATAAAATAGATGGTAATGATAGCTTTGTGGATTGAGATATCATAAGGACTTGCTGACCTGCTTGATGCATGTCAGTGCATCGCAAATGCGTGGAACAATGCTCATGAATTCAATCACTGGATTGTCTGGTGTGGATTTGATTATTCAATGACCGCCTTCATATAGCTGGAATTTAACAACAAACAAACATGAAGAAGTGAGTGAGTGATTTTTGTTTCACTCAGCAATATTCCAGTTATATGGCTGCGGTCTTTAAATAATCAAATCTGGACCAGACAATCCAGTGATCAACAGCATGAGCATGGGAATCGATGACATGTGTCAACCTAGCCAGTGAACCTGACCACCCGATCCTGTTAGTCGCCTCTTACGACAAGCATGGGTTACTGAAGGTTCATTCTAACACGGACCTTCACGGCTATCATGGAGGAAACAAACAGATAATTAATATAAAAACTTGAGTTGAACATATTAACAATTTATTAAAATTACAGTTTTTAAGCCTGGCAACTGAGAAAGGCCTGGACTTCGTGGAGGTGTGGGTGGGAGGGAGAACCATAGCAACAAGCACCTTGCTTCACCGTCTCTCTGGCACCACCATCAACAGTGGCAGTCGCTACATCATCAGTCCCAACAACAACGTCATCGTCCGATTTATCTCTGATTTCTCTGACCAGTTTGGAGGATTTAGCTTTCGCTGGAACTCAGGTAAAGATGATAATTGTGACATCAGTTTGTAATACTCTGTGGCAGGTTTGTCTGCTTTTCCAAAGAAGATGTTCTAATAATTTATATATGAATTATAGACAGTTAGGGTGGTAGCTCCTGTAAATGTCAGGGTTTACTACCAGACAATCAAATGTCTAATGATTCCAGAGAAATTATATGAATCGTCATTTTCTGGGTTTCTGAATGACAAAAAAGATGTCATTTAGGAATCGTTAAACCAGACACATTCATAACATTGAGCCTGCACAGTAATAATTGTACAAAAATAGCACTTTTTCTGCTCAGACATGAACATTTCTGGTCTGGTGTAAACTTTCCAATGTATGTGGTCTTGTAGACAGTCATGGTGATGCAAACATTTCATGACTTTTGAAAAAACTTCAAATGTCTGTTTTGTTAGGAAATTATGAATGGGTAATCTATTAGTTTTATTTGAAAAGCATGTCAATAATTGTACTCTGAGGATAAAATATCAATCCCATGGAATATCTTATTTTTTCTTATCCTGACTCATGTTTATTTGCTTGTCTTCTTCTTCTGGCGAACCTAGTGGAACACTTGTATCTCCCAATTGAAGCTCCCTTCAATAAAAAATCACTCATTAGTACTCACCCCGAGTTATCTCCCTTTCCGTGAGCGCGGGAAGGAGGGCGCCACCCAAGCCCATGTGCCTCACTCTCTCCTTCTTCGCCCAGTGAGCTGGACGTGAGAGCACCTGTGTCTCCCAACACATATATCCTTTATTTAAATCTAGTTTAGTTCCTCTTATACGCTAGTATTGAGGTAGTGCTAGTATATTTATTCAATTTGCATTGATTATTAATTGTGTTTCTGCTGTTTATTCAATGCCTTGCGTGATTGTTCAGTGTAGGCTACATTAATGAAAATTTGCACACATTGTAAACTACGTTACTCTGATACCGATCCTCATTTAAAATGCCCTAGTTGCATTACTCCATGTTCCTTTGATTCTCGTTGTAAATTGTGTAGCAATTTACCTATCTCTGCCTTTGACAAATATTTATGTTCCGTTTACAGACGGAAGGCAGATAAATCTCGTAAACGGTTTTCAAACATGGCTAATACATCGCAAATTAATGTTTCATGTCAACTGTTGACTGAGGACTCGTCACCGGCTGGTGGCATGCCTGAGATTTCCCTCGAGGATAAGCGTGGGGCCGAGTCCGCTATGTCCAAGAAGTTTACCTGCATCTCAAGAGCTGCCGTTGTCTCAGTCCAAGTCGAGGAAACCAGCCATATCATCTCGTGACTCTCGCGTGCTCCAAGATCTACACCGTCATCTAAAGGGAAGTCAACTAAATCTAATAAATTTGCCTCTGATATCTTACCAGTTACAGAATTAGCATTATATGATGATGATATGCCTATTATCATTCAGAAGTTCGTCACAAGAAAGCGACCCGTTTCTCGCGACTATCACCTCAGCGCAGATGAACACACAACTGGAGATGCCGACGCTTATCACCAATACGTTTATCTGAGGGTCCCGTCACCTCTGCAGAGACATCCCCATCAGCGCAGAACGTCCCAGATGACTTGATCAACCACATTATGAGAATGATGGAAGACCGCTACGACTTACAGAGGCCTCAGAGCCACGGGCCCCAGAGCCCACCCCCTTACTAAGTCATACAGGGCCCCAGAGCCCGCCTTGACTTCGGCGTGGGAGCCCTGAGCCCATAGACGCAGCCTCGAAGGGCCAACTCCTGCCGGGTGAGCTCTTTGCACAAGGTATCCCAGGCAGCCTCGGAAGGAGCTAGAGTCTGATCCTTTGCAAGAGGCTTCCCAGGAGAAGGAGTGCTTCGCCTAGCACGCACCTTGTCATAATGGAAGGCGTTAAGCAAAGCAAGCACTCATATGTCGGAGCGGACACTGACTCCAGACATTAGCGCAAAGCGCCGAAGGCTAAGTGGTTCTACAACACCTACAAGGCGTTCGCAGCCCTCAACGTTCGAGAAGCCCAGAGCGTCGGGCGAAGCCATCTCGCTGCACGTAGCCCACAGTCTCCTTGCGAAGGATGTAAAAGTCTCCAAGATCTGTATACACTAGCCACTTTCGTCAGTCCGTTCTCCTCAGTCCTCACATAGATCTTCTTACAGATCGAGGTCTCCGACATACGACCATCGTCAGAGGAAGGCGATGGTATTATTTTCTCAGAGGCTGAGATAAGGTATTGGATGGTAAATGAATTACAACTGGCCTCTCCCTCCAAGAGCGAGGATACAGCCCAAACTTACCTGATGAAAGATGATGACGTAGATCATATCACCATACCTCCTGTGGATCCTATCGCAGCCGTTCCTGCTAAACTGGATACAACTTTGTCCAAATCTACTAAATCCCATCTTCCTCACTTACCGATCTTCAATGCCAAGCAATTTTATGGACATAATATGGAGCCTTTTTCAAGACTCAGGAGATTGATGAAAACTTCAAGATTATCAGTGATTCCAAGTCCAGAAGTTATAGGATTGATCATGTCGTAAGATGGCCCAGTTAGATACCATTGCCAGAAGAATGTTCTTAGGACTTAATAGATCTAGGACTATTAACGAAACTCTCATCACCAAGTTCAAGAACTCTACGGATGAGGAGGACAGGATGATCTATTCAGCTCTACTTATGCAGAAGAAAGATCAACAATTCCTTACAGACCATCTTTTCAGCTCTTACTGAAACTACCACCATGGCTGTACGTCGGCAAAGGATTACTAGCCTCATGCTCTTGGAATAATCAATTCACAGAGCCCCTGTACACAGCTCCATGGTCTTCACCTTTACTGTTTGGTGGCAACATTAACAAGGTCTCCAAGGAAGTATCTAAAGATTCTAGAGAAGTACTGATGATTAGATCTATGGATCGTTAGCCAGCGTCTTCAAACATTCAGCACAGAGGTACTTTCGGGTAAGGCAAAATTCTCAGGGCTACAGAGAGCACGGGATAAGAAATTAAGCGCCACTAATAATCCCAAGGATTCTTTTAAAATTAAGCCCCTACAACAAGTTCAGAGGAGGATCAGCTAGAGGCAGATCATCCAGAGGTGGGCGTGGATTTAAGCGATGAAAGCCAGGTTCGGAGCGACTGGAGTCTTCCACCCCCAGTCGTCCCAGTACAACCGTCTCAAAGTGGGTGGGCGACTACAACTTCACTGGGAAAACTGGGAGATACTTCAAGACCCGATGCGTATCCAACATCCTTACGATCACGGATATCGTCTACAACTCAAGGCCAAGCCACCGTTAACAGTCAACCCACCAGGGTTCAACGATCAACTGGCATTACTACCCATGTTAAGAGAAACAGTACAGTCTCTACTAAACAAACAGGCCTTAGAAGTTCTCGATCAGCAAAACATCATACCAGGTTTCTACTCCCCAGTCTTCCTAGTGCGAAAAAGAATTCCAAAGAGAAGTATCGTCTAATATACAACATGAGCATATTCAGCAGAGATTTTCTATGCAAACCACCAGCGTTTAGCATGATACATTTACCTCAACCGTCATCTAATTAGATCCACTAGATTACATGGTAAGTATAGATCTGCAGGATGCATACCTACACATTCGATTCATCCCAGTTCAAGGAAATATCTGAGATTCATGCTAGGCGGCATACACTACCAATGGAAAGTACTTCCTTCGAATCACTTAGGCCCCATGGATATTCACAAGAATAACCAAACCTATGGTCTCATATCTACATCGTCAAGGCCTGCGAGTGCATTTTACCTGAGCGACGGCATACAGGTGGATCCACATCCACAGCGTCTCGAACTACAGCTGGAATTTACAATCAAGCTACTAGCGCGGTTAGGCTGGTTAGTAAATCTACTCAAGTCGGACCTAGAGCCGCGCATAAGATCTGCAGTTTCTAGGTATCACGATTCCTTACAGCTCAGAACCGTATGATAGTTCGGAGGACAGATGGATCAAGATACAACAACTGATCCCCAAGCCCCTACTCTCTCCGTTACCACTCCTCGACAGTGGCAGAGTCTACTTGGACTACTCACATCGGCTCAAGACTTGACACTCAGAGGCAGGCTCAATTAGCGTCCATTACAAGTCCTTATCAATACCCATCTCGAGGACTTTCTACCGTTCAGTCTACCAGATTACGTCAGACCACATCTACTCTGGTGGACCAAGAGATTGAATGTCTGCGCGTCTCCTTACTAGAGCGAATCGAGGAAACACATCTTCGTGGATCGTCACTAAAAGGTTGAGGGAGCCCACCTTTCGGCAGGACAGCGTCAGGCCTATGGAGCATTCAAGAGAGCTTATGTCACATAAATCTGCTAGAGATGCAAGCAGCCATAAACGCCATAAATCACTGGAGCAACCTATTACAGAGCGCTCAGTTAATGATTCATACAGACAACTCCACAGTGGCGTTCTATGTGAACAAACAAGGGTCAACAAGATCACTGAATCTACTCACTTTCGATGTTTCAAACTGTTCGATCTAGTCGACAGTCTAAACATCGTGATATCAAAACCTGCCACATTCCAGGAGCAAAGAATGTGTTAGCAGAGCGGCTCTCTCGGCCACACCAACCATCGCCCGACAGAATGGATGCTCCACACAGAAATATTCAATCAGATAATCATGGAAATAGGATCTCCTCTGATAGATCTATTTGCCAACCGATTCAACAATCAACTGACAACCTTCCATTATCGCCAGTACCAGACCCACTAGCATGGGCAGGGCGCACTAAGCATGTCGTGGGAGGGACTAAGCGTCACGGCTTTCCGCCTCTCCTGCGTTGATCCCACAAGTCTTGCTAAAATCAGTCAAGCGAAGAGCCTCGATCTGATTTTGGTCTCATATACTGGCCAGCGAGCGTGGTTTCCAGACCTCATCTGCGAAGAATCGGAAAACCAGTACTTCAGCTCCCTGCGCTCCAATCTACTGATACATCCACACACCAAACAAGTGCACAAAACACCAGAAGCATTCCGACTTCACGTGTGGATTGTATCAAGGCGTGTTTGAATAAGAGAGGCTATTCCAACAGAGCGGCGAAGGCGGCAACGCTCTACGTAACTCCACTTCGTAATTTATCACGATGATAAATGGCTCAGATTTGTCAATTATCGCGGCTAAGAAAGGATTTTCAGCCAGATTTGCTACACATCCTCAAGTGGCAGATTTCTTATGTTTCCCTCGTCAAACTAAGAATCTCAAAGGATCTACACTATCCACTTATCTTGCAGCCATAAAGCTCAGTCATTACTATGAGAACGGGCGTCAAACTGACCAGAACACGGAGTTACTTTCGCCTTGCTCTGCGCCTTCCGATTGGAAGATCAGAAAAGCGGAAATTTCAAAGCGCCAGCCTGGGATCTAAATGTGATACTTCAACACCTCACAAGTGAGGCTTCACGAACCGTTGTTATCTGCGTCATATGAATCATTGACCCACAAAACCTTATTCCTACTAGCGTTAGCCACTGCATAGCCAGAATGTCGGAAATTCAGCTTTGGACTATGAGAGAACGCGATTTGATGATATTCACAACATGGCTCATCTGGGACTTCGCTGGGATTTTATAGCGAAAAATCAACTACCAGGTCAACCAGACAGGTTGTTCCATGTCCCAGCTCTCTCATCCATACTTGGGCCGCAGGATACAATGGACTTATCACTTTGCCCGTCGTGCACTGAAAATATATCTCCAAAGATCCAAGCAGAGTAGAGGGAAATTCAAAGATTGTTTATCCCTATATCTACCGCTTCACAGACAGAAGTGTAAGCACTACCATTTCTATTTGGATCAGAACTGTCATACTAAAAGCCTACAAGGCAGCTGGACTGAACCCTCCAAGTGCTGCTAATCCCCACGAAATTAGAGCACTAGCCTCAACTTTGGCTTTACATGGAAATTGTTCCTTGAATACCATTATGGAGGGATGTTTTGGAGGTCGAGATGGTGTTTGCAAACCATTATCTGAGAGATATCACCACCAAGGACGTCTCAGGTATCCACCATTTCGGTCCCATGGTCCTCGCTCAACAGTTGACAGTTCCACGGAGAAGATAAGTCTATCTTGCTGATTTTATACTTATCTGATAACACTATTAATAGCTGTATGCTATCTATATATATATTTGCTTAAGTTAACATATTATCTTAAGCTCAGTACTATGATTCTTTATCATAATATATATATATACTTACAACTCTTACGAGTTTTACTATTATATATATGTTCAGCTTAAGTTAATCTTTAAGCTCTATCATATGTTCATTTCATAACATGTATTAGTTAACAAACTCTCAGTAGTTGGTTACTATTATACAGCAAGTTATCATTATACCTTAGGCACAGTTATGTTATAGCTTATATATATGCATATTGTAAGCTTACTACTTTGGTTCTTATAAAAGTATTCACTATAAACTATCAACAGTTTATACTACCACATTAATGGCTTTAGCTTAATTAATATTCTATATACTTTTATTCAGTAAATTGTAATAACCTATTTAAAGGCAGCTGTTAATTTAACAGCAGGAATTCAGTTCAGTGCCTTCATGAAGTTCCCTTAGGGTTATTACAATCATTTCAGTTCAAATCACTAATTAGTAAAATCCAAAGTATATATAATCCCACCTCCTATTCCGTAGGATTCTACAAGCAAATAAACATGAGTCAGGATAAGAAAAAATATGAAATTTTTAGAGTAAAATTAATATTTTTATACTTATCCTGACTCATGAAATAACTTCCCTCCGTCCTCCCCACTTAACACTTTGGATTTCTGGGAAAAATAAAGTGTTGGGCTCAAAACAAAAAGGAGAGTGAGGCACATGGGCTTGGGTGAAGCCCTCCTTCCAGCTTACGGAAGGGGAGATAACTTCGGGGTGAGTACTAATGAGTGATTTTTTATTGAAGGGAGCTTCAATTGGGAGATACAAGTGTTCCACTAGGTTAAGCCAGAAGAAGAAGACAAGCAAATAAACATGAGTCAGGATAAGTATAAAAATATTAATTTTACTCTAAAATGTTTCATTTTCTGCCAGGTGTTTTCTACAATGCCTCGAGCTGTCTCTGATACCTGCTGTGAGCTGAGTGTGAAGACCTGCCCCCAGGAAGTGGGCGATACTAGTAAGTATATCAATAAGCTGGCCCCTTTCTCTCAGTGAGTTGTGGTGTAACAATACGGCAGTTACAGCCCAAGGGCATATTTAGAGGGGTGAGGTGTGGGGGTAAACTTTGACAAAATAAATTATGTTGTGTCGGTGTTGATATGGTTTTGTGGTCTCACCTTAGACAAGTGAGTTTGTTCAAAAGTGCAGTCTAAGTAAACTTAGACTCAGTATTATTCGTTACACTGCTGTACTGAGTCTAACAAAACCTAATGGAAGGTTACGTCAGATAACCTTTGAGCTACTTATGACCATCCAATCAAACATGAGACGGCCAAACGGATTTAACAAAACCGACAACGACTACTTGTTAGGGTTCGGCGGGACTTACAAAACAGTTTTGGGATGTTCTCTTCCCTCGTTGCTGACACTGATCTATCCCAAAACGAAACTCTGTATAAAACACAGATATTTGACCTGCTGTATATACACTTATGGGTTTCTAATGATGTTACTATTTGCTTATATTTTCGCAAGATGCCATCCTTGAATATTTACAAAAAGCTATTTTCTGCGACTGTTTACTCATTGTGTGTATCACTCGGAAGCGATCGTGCGGAAAATAGCATTCTGAATCGTTCAAGTTTTTGAGGTAATGGTTCAAACATTATGTGCGAATGTTAACTTTCGCGATTTGGTAAGCTGTGATCTGATTGGTCAGTCCAAAAGGTTAGCTGACGCGACCTTCTACAAGGTTTTGTTAGACTCAGTATAGCAGTGTAACGAATAATACTGAGCCTAAGTTTACTTAGACTGTTCAAAAGTGCCTCTGTTCACCCAGCAGAAAATGGGTACCCGGTGGGACTTTTAACCTTCTAGAGCCTAACAGGCATCTTTTGTTATCCGGGGTAAGGACGATCAGATTGTGCGCTTTGAGCAGGATATCTGGCCTGGAAAAGGTGTGTTATAAATATTCTCATTATTATTATTATCATTACCAAAATAGCCACATAGTTACATTATTTCATACAAAAGGATAATTACGGAATTTTAGAATGCATGCAGTGTGCTATAAGAAATCAGCAGTTAATTATTACCCCTATAGATGTGAGTTAATGTCTATATATTTATACCACTTTGTCTGAACCTAAACAGAATGTTTACAACAAAAATGGAAGTTTAGACAATGGTTAAACAAGAAAAAAAAATATCTGTCGCAACGGAAAAGTCATATCAAAATTATTATGAGTTCGCTATTTTTTCCAGCCGTACCTTCGATTCCCAACCTTGGTGGAACCCTGTATGCAACAGTAACTCCCCAGCGTCTACACTCCCCTCTGTACCCTGTGTACTATTTGGCAGAGGCTACCATGGCGTGGACCATCATAGCAACTAGCAGAAGAGTTGTCTCCCTTGAGGTGAGACGCCAGACTGAATGTGTGTGAGTGAGTGAGTTTTACGAAACACTCAGCAATATTCCAACTATATGGCGGCAGTCTGTTAATAATCGAGTCTGGACCATACAAACCAGTGATCAACAGCATGAGCATCGATATACTTAATTGGGAACCGATGACATGTGTTAACCAAGTCAGGGAGCCTGACCACCCGATCACGTTAGTCGCCTCTCACGACAAGCATGGGTTACTGAAGATCAATATTCTAACCCGGACGTTCACGGGTCAACTGAATGTGATGGGTGATAATGCTGTCAGTCAGTGTCAGTACTTTTCACAGTATATCTCCTTCATGCCTGCCCGCCCTTAATTTTCGTTCAGATATGAAATTGTAAAATGTTTTTATCTCAGTTTTCCTCACCACTCTAAGATTTATGTCCTTACGTAGTGAAAAACATACAAAAACACAGTTGGCAACATCTCACTTCTACCCTAGTTGGGGGGTAGTGGGGTAGCATAGTGGTTAAAGTGTTGGTTCATTTCGCGGAACACCTGGGTTCATTTCCCCCATTGGCAAAAGCCCATTTCTGGTGTTCCCCACCATGAAATTGCCAGAATATTGCTTAAAGCGGCGTAAAACTAAACCTCACTCACTCACTCTACCCTAGTTGGGATTGAAGATAATGTGCTAGCTTTTGTATTCAGATTGGTTTAAGAATATTCTTTCTCTGCATAACACAAATATAAAAAACAATTAACATTAAGGAAAGTGTACGCAACCTTGTAACATACAAGATTAACATATCATGATGAAGTGTATCCTTAGGTCAAAATACTGCATTAAGTCAATTCACGTTTTAATGAGTTATGCCTACATTTCAGTTTCTGGATATTGACCTAGCCGAAGGCGACACTGTGGCAGTACTGGATGGCGATGGTCCTTCATCTCCCACTGTCGCCATCGTTACACAGGGTTCCCAGCACAGCACACTTATCTCCACTGGGACCTCATTTTATGTTCTGTTCAAGACGTCAGAGATAAGCACAACCAAGAGAGGATTCCTTTTGTCGTATCAGTCAGGTGAGCCAATCCAATGTATCTTGCTGTCACTCTTCTTCATCCTGCTGCATCCCTACCTCATCTTGATACCCCTGCCGTGAATTCACCTTTGCTGCTTATCTGCTATGTCTTGCTTCACCTCTGCTGTGTCTTGCTTCACCTTTGCTTTGTCTCTGCTGCATTTTGCTTCACCTTTGCTTTGTCTCTGCTGTGTCTTGCTTCACCTTTGCTGCACCTTGCTTCACCAATGCTGCTTCTGTGCTGTGTTTTGCTTCACCTCTGCTGTGTCGCTGCTGCATCTTGCTTCACCTTTGCTGTCTCTGCTGCATCTTGCTCTACCTCTGCTGTGTCTCTGCTGCGTCTTGCTTCACCTCTGCTGTGTCTCTGCTGCGTCTTGCTTCACCTCTGTTGTGTCTCTGCTGCGTCTTGCTTCACCTTTGCTGTGTCTCTGCTGCGTCTTGCTTCACCTCTGCTGTGTCTCTGCTGCGTCTTGCTTCACCTTTGCTGTCTCTGCTGCATCTCGCTTCACCTTTGCTGTGTCTCTGCTGCGTCTTGATTCAACTTTGCTGTGTCTCTGCTGCATCTTGCTTCACCCTTGCTGTGTCTCTGCTGCAGCTTGCTTCACCTCTGCTGTGTCTCTGCTGCGTCTTGCTTCACCTCTGCTGTGTCTCTGCTGCGTCTTGCTTCACCTCTGTTGTGTCTCTGCTGCGTCTTGCTTCACCTTTGCTGTCTCTGCTGCATCTCGCTTCACCTCTGCTGTGTCTCTGCTGCGTCTTGCTTCACCTTTGCTGTGTCTCTGCTGCGTCTTGCTTCACCTCTGCTGTCTCTGCTGCGTCTTGCTTCACCTTTGCTGTCTCTGCTGCATCTCGCTTCACCTTTGCTGTCTCTGCTGCGTCTTGATTCAACTTTGCTGTGTCTCTGCTGCATCTTGCTTCACCCTTGCTGTGTCTCTGCTGCAGCTTGCTTCACCTCTGCTGTGTCTCTGCTGCATCTTGCTTCACCTTTGCTGTGTCTCTGCTGCATTTTGCTTCACCTTTGCTGTGTCTCTGCTGCATCTCGCTTCACCTTTGCTGTGTCTCTGCTGCATCTTGATTCAACTTTGCTGTGTCTCTGCTGCGTCTTGCTTCACCTTTGCTGTCTCTGCTGCATCTTGCTCTACCTCTGCTGTCTCTGCTGCATCTTGCTTCACCTCTGCTGTGTCTCTGCTGTGTCTTGCTTCACCTTTGCTGTGTCTCTGCTGCATCTTGCTTCACCTTTGCTGTGTCTCTGCTGCATCTTGCTTCACCTTTGCTGTGTCTCTACTGCATCTTGCTTCACCTCTGCTGTGTCTCTGCTGCATCTTGCTTCACCTCTACTGTGTCTCTGCTGCATCTTGCTTCACCTTTGCTGTGTCTCTGCTGCATCTTGCTTCACCTTTGCTGTGTCTCTGCTGCGTCTTGCTTCACCTCTGCTGTGTCTTGCTTCACCTCTGCTGTGTCTCTGCTGTGTCTTGCTTCACCTTTGCTGTGTCTCTGCTGCATCTTGCTTCACCTTTGCTGTGTCTCTGCTGCATCTTGCTTCACCTTTGCTGTGTCTCTACTGCATCTTGCTTCACCTCTGCTGTGTCTCTGCTGCATCTTGCTTCACCTCTACTGTGTCTCTGCTGCATCTTGCTTCACCTTTGCTGTGTCTCTGCTGCATCTTGCTTCACCTTTGCTGTGTCTCTGCTGCGTCTTGCTTCACCTCTGCTGCGTCTTGCTTCACCTTTGCTGTCTCTGCTGCATCTTGCTCTACCTCTGCTGTCTCTGCTGTGTCTTGCTTCACCTCTGCTGTGTCTCTGCTGCATCTTGCTTTACCTTTGCTGTATCTTTACTGCATCTATCTTCACCTCTGTTGTCTCTCTGCTGCATCTTGCTTCACCTCTACTGTGTCTCTGCTGCATCTTGCTTCACCTCTACTGTGTCTCTGCTGCATCTTGCTTCACCTTTACTGTGTCTCTGCTGCGTCTTGCTTCACCTCTGCTGTCTCTGCTGCATCTTTCTTCACCTTTGCTCTGTCTCTGCTGCATCTTTCTTCACCTCTACTGTGTCTCTGCTGCATCTTGCTTCACCTTTGCTGTGTTTCTGCTGCATCCTGCTTCACCTCTACTGTGTCTCTGCTGCATCTTTCTTCACCTTTGCTCTGTCTCTGCTGCATCTTGCTTCACCCCTACTGTTTCTGCTGCATCTATCTTCACCTCTACTGTTTCTGCTGCATCTATCTTCACCTCTGCTGTCTCTGCTGCATCTTGCTTCACCTCTACTGTGTCTCTGCTGCATTTTTCTTCACCTTTGCTCTGTCTCTGCTGCATCTTGCTTCACCTCTACTGTCTCTGCTGCATCTTTCTTCACCTCTACTGTTTCTGCTGCATCTATCTTCACCTCTGCTGTCTCTGCTGCATCTTGCTTCACCTCTACTGTGTCTCTGCTGCATCTTGCTTCACCTTTTCTGTCTCTGCTGCATCTTGCTTCACCTTTGCTGTGTCTCTGCTGCATCTTGCTTCACCTCTGCTGTCTGCTGCATTTTGCTTCACCTTTGCTGTCTCTCTGCTGCGTCTTGCTTCACCTCAGCTGTGTCTCTGCTTCGTCTTGCTTCACCTCTGCTGTGTCTCTGCTGCGTCTTGCTTCACCTCTGCTGTGTCTCTGCTGCATTTTGCTTCACCTCTGCTGTGTCTCTGCTGTGTCTTACTTCACCTTTGCTGTGTCTCTGCTGCGTCTTGCTTCACTGCTGCTGCATCTTACTTCATGTTATCATATCTACAGTTTGGATCATTGCTTTTTAGAGTTTATGCCATTAAGCAAGACTGAGCCTGCTTGACAACATCATAAGCATCTATTGCAAAAGTTTGTCATTAGATCTTTCGTGGATGAGAAAGTTATTCAGAAGTTACAAACAACATGTGTAATTAATGCCAACTGTTTGTGTTCAGGTTGTGACTTGGAAATCTCCGCGACCTCTGGCACGATATCCTCTCCAGGATACTCAACCGGACAATATCCAAGCATCCTTAGTTGTTCCTGGCTTCTGAAAGTCTCCACACCCCTCAGACTCACCTTCAAATCTAACTTCGGAATAGAGAATGGAAAGGATTTTTTACGGGTAAAGTTTCTGAGAGTCCTAGGCGTAATTTTTATTTGGGTTGAAAAAAAAGATTTAGTTGCAATTTGGTACTAAATATAACAGATCAGTGTTTATTTCATCAAAAACAAGATATATGCAAAATGGAAACAACTCAAGCTTTGCAATAGTGAAAAGTTTTTATGTCACTTTGTCAAATCCCCAACCAAAATATTAGCGAGTAAGTTTGGTTTTACGCCGCTTTTAACAATATTCCAGCGTTCACTCATCATGCCAAAGACCCGGGTTCTGTACCCCACAAGGGTACAATGTGTAAATGTGTGTTCCCTGCTAAGCTATTGTGGGATTATTGCTAAAAGTGGCATAAAACTAGACTTACTGACTATGGCAAATTATGGCAAGGTATCATGAGTAGACACTTTAAAACACCAAAACACACCTTTCTAAGACCCCACCACAAACCTCATGTGGGCAATAACTGGACACAATCATAACACTGTGTAAACGAAACTGCCAACGATTAATAACACTCAGTTTAGACGATCAAGGATACTTTCTGTCGAGACACACACGCAAGTATGTTATTTACATTGCAATTTTACGGGACAGGAAACATCTGTTGTTTAACTTAACATTAAGAAACATACTTCCTCAAGTCGTTTGATTTTTCATGAATATCGATTGATCTCCCAAGCATATAGATAATCACTGATTAGATCGATTGATTGACAGATAATTTGATCGATCACTCCAACACTACACCTTTCTGAGGGCGGTGGGGTAGCCTAGTGGTTACAGCATTAGCTCGTCATGCTGAAAACCCTGGTTCAATTCCCCACATGGGTACAATGTGTGAAGCCCATTTCTGGTGTCTGCCGCTGTGATATTGCTGGAATATTGCTAAAAGCGCCATAAAACTAGACTCACTCACTGACTACACTTTTCTGAAAAGGTGTATTTATGGTGTCTATTTTCTACCTGCAGGTGTATAAAGCAAATGATGTGTCTGGAACCCCAGTGCATTCTGGGTCAGGGTTCACAGGGTCAGTGTCACCAGGTCAGATTGACACAGAAGATGGTAGTCTGTACGTCGATCTGTACACCAGTGCTACAGGGACGGATGTAGGATTCACAGCTGATTTCACTGCAGGTACTTCTGTTCTTTGGGTTTTCGGGTAGCCTTGTGGTTAAAGCGTTAGCTTGTCATGCTGAAGACTCAGATTCGATTCCCCACATGAGTATAATATGTGAAGTCCATTACTGGTGTCCCCACTGTGATATTGCCAGAATATTGATAAATGTGACATAAAACCATTGTCACTGTTTTTTTTTTTCAATAACTGCCCAGTGGCCCAGATAAGAAGCGTATCCGGGTAAAATACGCATAGAAAATTTCCAATTACTCATTGAAAAATAATTGTTGCGTACCAGTTACGCATTTAAAATGTTAGATACACAAAAAGTTTAAAACAAATGCGTGCAGAATATATTTATAAAAATAACTTGAGTAATGAAAAAGACATCGATTGCTATCAAGTTGTACTGTTAGTATAGGACAAGTGTTGTACTGTCAGTATAGGATGAGTGATTTTTTTATGAAATCATTTCCATTATATTTAAGTTGGTTTTGATTAGGTATGACATGAGGCAGAACATACCTGCTTAGTAAACTTTCTCAATAACATAATACTTAGGTGAGTAAAATGACTGAAATACGCACTTATTTGAAAGCAGTGGGTAACGGAAAATGAAATACCCATTCAACATTCATAATACCCACTCCCAAAAAATACAGTGGGTACAGTACCCACATGAGCTAAATCTTATCTGGAGCTCTGACTGCCTATTATTAACTAGCTTTGAAGTGACATCATGTCATTGAACATTGCTTCTTGTCTTTGAACCAAGAATGTTATGTCCAGAAAGTACATTGTACTAAGAATTTATGAGCTTCCACCATCAGTTTTACCCTAGAAACTGGTCACTGCAAGTATGAGAGTTTTCATTAATAACTAACCAAACATGCACTTTTTGCATTTCAGGATGTCCACTGATCATAGACTCAACACTTGAAATTCAGCCACCAAATTACCCACGTTACCATGGAGATAAGATAACTGTTTTCTGTAAGGTGGGATACATCTTTTCGACGGATGAGTTGTCAGCTCGGAACAGCATACTGCTGACATGTTCTGAGGGGAAGTGGAGTATGGACCCACTCCCAACATGCTCACGTAAGTGCACCGTGACCTGTGTCAAGCATACCATTAGTGCAATGTCGACTGTGTTCTTGCTCCTTCATTGGGTGAATCTTCATCATCCACCCCCGGGGGCGGTGGGGTAGCCTAGTGGTTGAGGTGTTCACTCATCACGCTGAAGACCATGGTTCGATTCCCCACATGGGTACAATATGTGAAGCCCATTTTCTGGTGTCCCCTGCCGTGATATTGCTGGAATATTGCTAAAAGCGGCGTAAAACCAAACTCAGTCAGTCAGTCATCATCCAGCCCCAGGGGCGGTGGGGTAGCCTAGTGGTTGAGGTGTTCGCTCATCACGCTGAAGACCCGGGTTCGATTCCCCAAATGGGTACAATATGTGAAGCCCATTTTCTGTTGTCCCCCACCATGATATTGCGGGAATATTGCAAAAACCGATGTAAAAACTAAACTCACTCACTCACTCATCCTCCACCTGATGAAGGAGCAATAAGTAACCCTGAAACAGTTGATAAAGAATAAAAAGAAGTTGTTATGCATAACTATGTGCTAAGTGTTCATGTTTTTCTTTGTAAGGGGCGGTGGGGTAGCCTAGTGGTTAAAGCATTGGCTTGTGGTTAAATCATTGGGTACAATATGTGAAGCCCATTTCTGGTGTCCCCGACCGAGATGTTGCTGGAATAATCCAAGCATTGGTACAATGTCTCAGTCAGTAAGTCTTTGAAAGAAAGAAAATGGACATTCTTTTTAATAAGTTTGATCATCTTCACGCAAACATTTCAAAGTTACCCTGACCTTTCTCCAATTTTCATGTTTTATCAAATTCCCATTCCTTTGACTACCCTATCTCCCTTAAATCATTACCGAAATTCTTGGAATTTGGCTATCATTGCAATCATACGAACTTCAAATTCTCATTGCAATCATACAAACTTCAGATTTTCAACAAACATTATCTTTATCATCAGCCATTTCAACCTGTTCATGGGTAAATCTCATTCCATGCCTGATCCCAGATAGTATTGATATGTTGGCCCATAGTTTGCCCATAATCACCGGTTTGGTTAGCCCATGGTTATCAAACTGACGATAGGCCCATCTGGATATGCTTATCGGGTCCACAGTAACCCATCATGTTGGCTCATTGTTGGGCTGATGAATGGAAATTCATACTAAACCACACTAAACCACTTGGCCCAGCGAAGTGATTTTGTTGGTCTTATGTTTGCACCACCACATTTCAACATATAACTATTTCCTGACCTCTGCAATCAGAAACATATATCAACAACAAAACAAGTTAACCAACTGAACTATTTAATTCTTCTTTCATTTTGTTATTTTTCTTATTTCATCTGTCATTCCATGCCCCTTGCCGATCTTTGGCATACCGGAGCCAGTCCTTCTATTTCAGCAGTTGGCTGCTGGCAGTTTTTTTCAAACTGGTCCTGAAAAAATACGAAAAACAATTTCATGAAAACAATCAAGCTTCACCCTTAAGAGTTATCATTGTCAATTAAGGCTGTAACGATTCACTCGCATATTCGGTGAATCGAACTGTAGCCCTTCATGAATTCAATTCGTTATTCGTGGTTACCAGAAACTAATATTAACGAATATTTACAATTTTTTTAAGGGGGCATGTTTTACTTGAACCTTTATGTCCTTTTCCAAAGTGAGATATGCAGGAATGGAACATATTCTAGCATTCCAGTAGTGCAAGTCATGATAGTTTGCCAAGGCCACACATGGTATTGTTGACTATAACTATTACATACGAAATTTGAGTGTCATGAGATCACTGGTTATTGCTGTCTCAAATCAAAACTGTCAACATGGGCGTTCCATACTGTACATCAATCACTTAACTACAATGTTGTAATCGTGAATAATTATTCGTATTCATCACCCAATATTCATGATATGTATCATATTTGCCACATAGTGTATTCGTTGCAGCCCTATAATGTCAATTAACGTCCGTCATCAAACTGTCAGATATCATAATTTTAGACATGATTTTACGCCACTTTTAGCAATATTCCAGCAGCATCACGGCAGGGGACACCAGAAATGGGCTTCAGGGGACACCAGAAATGGGCTTCACACATTGTTGGACCCATGTGGGGATTCGAACCGGGTCTTGAAAATATATCGTTAAAGGACATAGTATTTGACGTTATGTGCCAATGTGGATATGACTTATAACAACTATAACTTTGACACATATCTGGGATAATGATGAATTATTGGTTGTAAAGATGAATAATAGAGTTGTATATGGAAACAGCAGTGTAACTGACAGGCACATAATGTTATTCAACCAGATAGTGCTAAATGTTGCTAGTATCTAAGCATCATGGTATTGCAAACTTACTGGCCATGACACCCTTGATGGCACAAAGGCATATATTGTCACAGAAGGGATGTTAGCAATATATGAAAAGATTTCCTGAGACCCTGTCCATGACAATATCTGCCTTGATGCCAGTTTTTGCATTACATGCTCTGTCCGACACCCATCTAGTTATAGCAGAGCCCATCCCAACATGAGTAACCATGGTAACAGATTTGAGTTGAACGTTGACAGTTTTGAACCTTGTCTCCACCAACTCTAAACCCATAGTTCTTTATCTGTTGTCTCATTTTAGATTGATACATATTCTCAGACTAACTAATCTGGCAAAATCAGATTATTCTGTGTGGTATAAATATAATGCTGATGAGTTTGGTATTGGATAACATGAATATGATGACAAATATCAGTCGTAGAAGTATTGCATGGAACAGTCTACCATAACACCTCCTTTACTGCGGTGACTGCTCTAGTCTGTCGTACAGACCCTGAAATAAATATATCCAAGAAAGCCCACGCAAGTCTAGAAAATGTGGCAAGTCTAGATTTCCTCAGCTTCTGAAAATGAAGAAAGTCTCAGGGCTCCTTTTCATTATATTTTATTTTTTTTTACTATGAACTTTTTTTTCAGTAAAATATGTTCATTTCAGAGACTAGTTGTTAGTCTATGACTGCTCCCAAGCCAAGTTTTTCTCTTTAGAATTAAGGGGTGGTGGGGTAGCTTAGTGGTTAAAATGTTCGCTCGTCACGCCGGAGACCCGGGTTCGATTTGACACATGGGTACAATGTGTCAAGCCCATTTCTGGTGTCACCCCGCCAGGATATTGCTGGAATATTGCTAAAAGCAACGTAAAACTAAAACTCGCTCACTTTTTCCTTCTCTGAATGAATTCTTATTGTTATGTGTGTTGAGCATGCACTGCATGGATATGTGTCATACAATGGACTATTATTATTATCATTTATATTATTTCAGGGGGTGTTCTGTGGTTCACCTCCCAGTATCAACAACGGTGCCCTGGTGATCGTGACAGGCTTGTATGGCGGCGACACTGCAACGTACACCTGCAACACCGGCTACTCCACCACACAGCAGCAGACCATCACCTGTCTCAGTAATGGACAATGGGCAACACCACCAACATGTTCAGGTACAGGAAATAATCAAGTCTGGACCAGACAATTCAGTGATCAACAGCATGAGCATCGATCTCCGCAACTGGGATGTGATGACATGCAACCAAGTCAGCGAGCCTGACCACCTGATCCAGTGGTCCGTGACAAGCATGGGTTCCTGAATATCTGTAAATAATCGAGTCTGCACCAGACAATTCAGTGATCAACAGCATGAGCATCGATCTACGCAACTGGGATGTGACATGTGCCAATTCTAACCCAGATCTTCACGGGTCTCATTGTAGTAATAGTAACGGATTGAATTGGTTGTTGTTTAACGTTGTACTCAGCAATTTGACTTCTTTGATTGGCATTCTAGCAGTTGGGTAGATGAAGAATGAGGACTATTTCTATGGATATACAACTTCTTTAATCTATATAGGCGACGTTTTGACATAGATTTTAATGTCATTCACAAAGACTATGAGAATCTATGTCGAAACGTCACCACTTGCTTGACAATGACATTAGAAACATCGCCTATATAGAATAAAGAAGTTGCACATACATAAGAATAGTCCTGATTCTGCACTCAGCAATGTTCCAGCTATATGGCAGTTGTTGTTATATTAACGACTAGAATACCATCATTCACAATATGCAAACTGCCTTTATTAGTCCCATTTGGAACTGCCCATGTAAGTTTGTTTTAACATATAGTACCCCATCTGTCTTCCAGCTCCGACTTGTGCTCCTCTACCTACAATTTTGAATGGGAACTTTGTTACGCTGAAGGGCAATGGCTTTGACCACGGCTCTGTGGTTCGGTACAACTGTATTGTTGGGTACGACATCATCGGAGTGGATACCCTCACCTGCACACAAGGGGTATGGTCAGGACAAAGACCTCTCTGTGCAAGTATGTTGAAATCAACTATTACATATAACTCATACCTGTATATATGGATGTTAAATCAGTCCTTCCTGGATTCCGCAATTCCGCAGGTTGCAGATTAAATCACGGAAATATACCTTTTGATGCAGAAAAACGTATGGTCAGCGGGAAACACATTTTCATGCAGAATTAGCCATTTTTCTGCCGCGGAATTTACGTATTTTGAAAGTTGAATCAAGATTAACTATCAACCGAAATGAAAAGTAGGGGTAAATGTCAAAAGTATGATTGGTTACACAAACCAACTGAGACATTTGTTATAATGATATTTTCAAAGTATTCACGAATAAAGATGATTTATTTTAACTGCAGAATTTTGAAAAATGGGATGCAGTATTTACTTAAATTTGCTGCGGAATGCTTAAAAAATTCATCGCAGAATCCAGGAGGGACTGTTAAATGTTGCAAGGAATTGAAAATATTGCCTGAATAAAATCCTATTTCACAAAGAACCTTTGAAAGCAGAAAATATCAAGTGTGTTTAATATCATAAATGTATCACAAATAAGTAAATGAGTATGTTTTTTATCTGCTTTTAGCAATATCCCCTCAATATCATATGTTGGGATTGGCTTCTCACATTGTACCTATTGGGAATAGAGATTTCATCATGAAGGGTGTACGCTTTAACCAAATCGTGTCATACAGTGGAAACCTGATACGGAAAATTTCAAGGGACTCCTAAGTGGGATGTTTGTTCAGCTGGAGACTGACACGTGCCCCTCATGTAGGATTATGTGGTGATCGCTAATTTAGTTACCCAGTCTCTTGTTAAGTAATTTACTTCCAGGGACCGTGAGAAGACGTTTGGTTAAGCGGTATTGTTTACTTATCCAAATTTAGTTAACTGGACTCTAGTAGTGATAATTAATAAAGAAATTTGCCCGGAACAAAGAATAGTGTTTACTTATCCGGTCTGTTTAGTGAAGCAGTCTTTTCTTAGACGGTTTCCACTGTATATCATTAAATATAGTAACGAAAAAAAGCATGTGAGTATTCACAGCCTGGGATGATGTACTGCATAATTATTTGGACCATTCCTTGTTTATAGAAACACTCTAATTTTAAACCACTTCCTGAACTATGTTGCAATGTTCAAGTTTCCAAGAAGGTTTGGCATCAATGTATAGTGGTTTGCAAAAGTAATATCTGACCTCATTTGCATATTTATCGGAATGGTGTATGGTATTATTAACTTTATTAATTAAATGATAAAAATTTAGAAAAATATGTCAGTGTATGAAATAAGGCATGTCCGACCGCCCGAGACAGGCTAGATTTCTGACGGACAGTCTAAATTTACAGCTTGCCAGCCCAATGGTCTGGTAAAGGTTTTAGATGTTCCTCACATATGAGTGAATCCACCATATCTTGCTGTCTGGTCCGGTTAAATCTATTTAGGGATGGTACTATTTTCATTGTTAGTTAACAGCCCTGATGCCTGGCTGGGTTTTTGGCTTATTTCATACACTGTATATACCATTTTGAAGTAATGTTAGATATTATTTAGTCATAATGTTGATCATTAACCATTAATGGACTTTTATTTCTGGCTTTTTTGTTTACTGAGAACATTACTTCCATGGTTACAGAGGTCAAGTGCGGCCTTCCTTTCATCGAACATGCTTCCTTGTCCCCGAGTTCAGGGGTCAATGTCAACGAAGATGTGACAGTTTCCTGTGATTCTGAATACCGGTTGTCAGGACAACAAACGTTCAAGTGCGGAATTGACACGCCACCAAAGTGTATCAGTAAGTCCAAATATCTCTGTTTATTACCTACAAGGGCGAAAATGTCTGGGTTCATATTTTTCATACAATACCCTAGGACAAAATGTAACTTTGTCATGGTGACGTGAAGTCATGAACTTTGCTATGATGTCACGTTTTCTTCTGTGACATTGTGTTCTACATGCGGCGATGGTGGGTAGCCAGCCTATGTTTGAAGGTAGATTTGGGTTTATTTTCCTCAAGTTGATGACTTCGGTAATAAACAGAATACTATATTTGTGCCCATATTATACTATGTTTACGACACTCGTGCCTAAATATTGGTATTTCGGCACTCGTGTTGTAAACATTATACAATTATAGACTGGTAATGAGGTCAATACCTGTTTTTATGGAAAGCTGCTCAATATTGACCGTGGGTCCATAAAAACAGGTATTGACGGAATTCACCAGTCCATAATTGTGTTATTATGTAATTACCGGATAAAAAAGCTCCTCAAAACCAAAACATATCAATTTTTTTCCTCTACAAACCAATAACATTATGTCAACAATACTTGGACATGTAAACAATAGAATGACGTCATAGCTTGATGTCAAAATCTATTCTTAGTAACTCAAGTCAATATGACTTTTGGTCGGACCTGGGTTGAAGTCAATATGCTTTTCTGTCGACGGTCACGTGACCGCCTCTAGACCAATCAGGTAGCCGTAAAAGTATGCTTACATAATAAAGTATGACGTGGGCACTCGTATAATATCCTCTATGTTGATTGTGACAGGGATAAAAATGACTATTTTTCAAACGTGTCTCGGAAATTGTGAAAACGGTAAAAAATACATGTTAGAGGTGCCAGTGACATGGCAAGAAGAATACAGTTTGAGGGCCCCACTTAGAATTGTCTTGTTTTTTTCAAACTAAATTATTCATGGTATGAAGCCTGTACTTTCATGTATGCACTCGTGAAGAAACACACAGAAAGGGATGTATGATGATGCTTATGATTTAAAAGTAACCCCCAGATTTATTAAAAATGATATTATCAAAATCTTAATGACAAGGAACTTTCTAAATTAGAATGCCCCGTGGCACAGCTCAATATATTGATGCGTGCACTGTGGCATGCCAAAATTTCTTGACATATGACCATATACAACATACGGCACATCTCGGCATCATGATGCATGTCCTTGGGCACACCTTAGGATCTTGATGCATATCTTTGGGCACACCTTAGCATCTTGATGAATGCCCTGGCTCAAACCTTAGCATCTTGATGCATGTCCTGTGGCACACCTTAGCACCTTGATGCATGCCCCATGCACACATGAAAAAGATACTTATCTTTTCCTGAAGAATAATGTTTGACATTAATTTTTGTAGTTGCTGTCAAGGTCTTTCAGCAGTGACAACAGTTTACAGTGAATAGCGTCCATCAAACCTGCATGAGTTAACATTAGACTTATTGTCCTTCCATGTTCCAGACATTGATGAGTGTACCGAGGGGACCTCTGGATGTTCTCAAGTATGCACAGACAAGGATGGTGGGTTCACGTGTTCATGTAATGAAGGCTATCGGTCAATCAGCGTTGGGTCTGCTGTCTGTGAGGGTAAGTCCACTTTCAAAATGAAATTATTATTATTATTATTGGATATTTATATAGCGCACATATCCACGCACTAGTGCATGCTCAAGGCACTGGTATTGTTTCCCTCGATCATTGGATGTCAATCTAAAAAAACGGCACATCTTATTATCAATCTCAGCTCTCTGGGGAGCATACAACTCTTGCTGCCACAAGGCGTACCGAGTTATTGTGGCTTTCCCATCCTAACGAGGTACCCATTCACAGCTGGGTGGACTGGGACACATAGTCACAGTACTTTGTCCAAGTTTACTGCATAGGCGTTTGCACGTATTCATGTGGCCCCCATCTGGTCATATACCAACAGATTCATGGGTTCTTTTAAGTGCACAGGGTTGTGTATTGTACACAAAGAATCTGCACACAAAGTTGACTCCAAGGTTTTTACACCCGATCACAAGTTGGCTTGATCCTGGCACATCGTGCCTGGTGGATCACTAGCCTGGCGCCCTAGCCAGCTCGCCCACCACTCCCCCTGTAGCTTTAGGGTTGAATCTTTGAAGCTTTGTCCAACAGTGTCCACAGTATCTCAATTCTATGTATGACCTCCGTTGCTGATTCAGATGTAACCATGCCTTAACAGGATGTTGTTAGGGTCTTTGAATGGCATCTGGAAGGGCTACACCTAAAGGGTGAACAATTTCTGGATGTCAACTTCTGTAATATGAGGGTCCTTTCCCGGGGTGAATTACTTGCCCTTGATGTATACTTGTCAGTGTTTTTGGCTTCGCTACTATATCTAGCATCACCAATCAGAATTTGAGTTACAGTGAGTGAGTTTGGTTTGTTGCTTTTAGAAATATTCCAACAATATCACGGTGGGGACACCAGTAATGGGCTTCACACAATGTACCCATGTAAAACCATACTCACTCACTCACCCAGTGATAATTTTACTAGCCAGATGCTTTCAGACCATTGTTACTATAACGCTGTTGTTTGTCTTCCAGATATAAACGAGTGCAATTACAGCAATGGTGGCTGTACAAACACATGTGAGAACTTCCCCGGGGGCTATCGCTGTACCTGCCCCACGGGCTACCAGCTGTACACCTACAATGGACTGGGGGGGATCTTGATCCCCATCGGAGAGACTGGAGACAAACCCTGGAACTTGTACCATATCAACCACACCTGTATCAGTAAGTCATTAACCACACCTGTATCAGGGAGTTATTAACCACACGTGTATCAGTAAGGCATTAATCACACCTGTATCAGTAAGGCATTAATGACACCTGTATCAGTAAGGCATTAGTCACACCTGTATCAGTAAGGCATTAATCATACCTGTATCAGTAAGGCATTAGTCACACCTGTATCAGGGAGTTATTAACCACAACTGTATCAGTAAGTAATTAACCACATGTGTATCAGTAAGGCATTAATCACACCTGTATCAGTAAGTAATTAACCACATGTGTATCAGTAAGGCATTAATCGCACCTGTATCAGTAAGGCATTAATCACACCTGTATCAGTAAGGCATTAACCACACATGTATCAGTAAGGCATTAATCACACCTGTATCAGTAAGGCATTAACTACACATGTATCAGTAAGGCATTAATCACACCTGTATCAGTAAGGCATTAACCACACATGTATCAGTAAGGCATTAATCACACCTGTATCAGTAAGGAATTAATCACACCTGTATCAGTAAGGCATTAGTCACACCTGTATCAGTAAGGAATTAATCACACCTGTATCAGTAAGGCATTAATCACGCACCTAATTATCACACCTGTATCAGTAAGGCATTAACCACACATGTATCAGTAAGGCATTAATCACACCTGTATCAGTAAGGCATTAATCACACCTGTATCAGTAAGGCATTAACCACACATGTATCAGTAAGGCATTAATCACACCTGTATCAGTAAGTAATTAACCACACCTGTATCAGTCATTTATTTACCACACATGTATCAGTAAGGCATTAATCACACCTGTATCATTGAGTAAATTACAACACCTGTACCAATAAAATCACAACTGTATCATTTAGTAATAAATGACACCAGTAGGAATAAAACCACACCTGTATCATTAAGTAATTCACGGCACCTGTAGCAATAAACCACACCTGTACTATTAAGTAATTAACGACACCTGTAGCAATAAACCATACCTGTATCATTCAGTAATTAACGACACCTGTTTTAGTAAAACCACACCTGTGTCAGACTGTAATGAACCACACCTGTATCAGTAAAACCACACCGTATCAGTGTATCATTTAGTAATTAACAACACCTGTATCAGTAAAACCACACCTGTGTCAGACTGTGATGAACCACACCTGTATCAGTAAAACCACACCTGTATCAGTAAAACCACACCTGTGTCAGACTGTAATGAACCACACCTGTATCAGTAAAACCACACCTATATCAGTAAAACCACACCTGTATCATTTAGTAATTAACAACACCTGTATCAGTAAAACCACACCTGTGTCAGGCTGTAATGAACCACACCTGTATCAGTAAAACCAGCCCCCTCGCAAACAGTATCGTAGCGTGACATTACACAAACAATGACCCCTGTGTGTTACAGAACAGACATGCCCTGCTCCAGCATTGACAATCACCAATGGTAAAGTGACGACCAAACAGACATCCTTCAGTTTCGGGGACCAGGTCACCTACATCTGTGACATTGGCTACATCCTCCAGGGGCAGGGAACTCTGCAGTGTTTCAGCGGCAACACGTGGAGTGCTCCTGCTCCAGTATGTGTTGGTAGGTGCCTTCTTCCACTGTTCAATTTCCTTTGAGTGAGTGAGTTTAGTTTTATGCCGCACTCAGCAATATTCCAGCTATATGGCAGAGGTCTGTAAATAATCGAGTCTGCAACAGACAATCCAGGGATCTGGTGGTCAGGCTTGCTAACTTGGTTGACACATGTCACCGGTTCCCAATTTCGTAGATCGATGCTCATGCTGTTGATCACTGGATTGTCTGGTCCAGCCTCAATTATTCACAGACCGCCGCCACATAGCTGGAATATTGCTTAGTTCGGCGTAAAACTAAACTCACTCACTCTATCCCTCTCTCACTCACACACACTTAATTACCTTCCCTCTTAACGAAATTTTCAAGCTCCATTTCAGTGTATTAAACATAATTACTCCACTTGCTCGCACAGATTGCAAAAGGACTCAGAAAACAACGATGGGAGCTATAATTATATGCATGTGCTTAATTTTCCAGAGGCAACCTGTCCCCAGCTGATCATTCCCCAGGGTTCAGCCAACACTCCAACAGTTTCTCCCCAAAGTAGCATTTCGTATCTTTCCTACTTCACGCTCACCTGTTCCTTGTCCGGAGGTGGCTCGACAACAGAGGAGCGGCCATGTTACTACAACAAGCAGTCCAACACCTACCAGGTGTCCTCCACCTCCCTCACATGTCAGAGTGAGTACAGATGAAATAGGAATCTGGGTCAAAAGCCCCTCAACCAAAAGGCCCTCAACCAAAAGCCCCCTCAGGACAAAAAAACCCTCAGGACAAAAAACCCTCGAAAACTGATCAAAAGCCCCTCACTTTATGTATTAAGGAGAAAATAAGATTAAAGACAAGAAATGATCAATAACATGAAACGTTTTATTGGTTCATAATATAATGACCCTAAATACGATATAAATTAATATGTAATTAGCAATTGATTTAGTGATTACGGAGTAAATATCAAACAAATGATAACAAATCTACAAGAAATTATTAATGACATGAAAAATTGTATTGCATCATAATTAGTAATTAAACAAATTAACACAACCTAATGTTGTGGCCAATGGCGGAAAAAAAGTCACAGGGGTGCTCAAATTAGCAAGGGTCTTTGTCCAGTGGGGCTTTTGGTTGATGGGCTTTTGTAGCAAGGGGCATTTGGCCAGTGCCCGTGAAAGCCTCGTTTTAGCTCACCTGGTGTGTCCATGTACAAATTGTGTAGAGCAGACAAATCAGTTGCTCAGTTCTGAGCACTTGCACCTTCTTCTAAAATGGCCATGCTGCTATCGCTTTTTTGCCTCGCCCTAATAAGAATGTCAATATGTGAAGCCCATTTCTGTCTTCCCCTGCTGTGATATTGATGGAATATTTCTAAAAGCAGCGTAAAACTAAACTCACTGACTCCCTCACTGATAAGAATGTAATTTCCCCGTAATAATCCTGTAATATAAAAGGTTTGATGTCCATCTGATTAAGTTACTTCTGCCATTATTCATCATAAGCGTGTTCATTATAAACTAGTTTACTGTTTTTGACAAATATAGTTTTCATCAGCTCAAACTGATTTGCCAAACAATTTGTCAGTTGTTAATTAAACATGAAGAAGAAATCACCCATCCCCAACATGTGCAAATATTTTTGAACAAGGGAAATTTTTCCTAACAAGTGGTTGGGATGGCAGTCAGTAATGTAGATATCGAGGGATTGTTATAGTGTTATTTTAACCAAACTGCAGGAAAAAAGGCTATGATGTAAAGGTGGTAGTACATTTAAATCCATTCAACTTTCTTACATACATGGTAAACATTTGTTCTTTTTTTATTGGTATCTGTTTGTAGTGTAATTAAATTCACAACAAAGTCAAACGTAGCATGCAGTCACCCACCCTTGATGATGTTCTGATCACTGTTATAAATGAATTGTTGATGGAGAATAGTACATAATCAGTCAATCAGAAACCTTGGCTTGGGATTTTGTGTTCAGATGGATATCATATCAGATCTTTATTCAGAACAATAATGAGCTTAAATATTCTTTAAATAAAATTGTTTTAATTTTCAGTAGTGAGGAGCAGAAGTTAAATGAATCAAGCATTTTAGGCTTACTCACAAACTCACTCTTTGTTGTAGGAGCCGAATGCGGTAAGCCCCCTCTCATTTCGGGGTCGACCTCTTATACCACTTCCTGCACCAAGACTGGCTGCCAGTTTCTGTTTGAGTGCAAGTCTCCACTGTTCACCCGTGAAGGTACCAGCTCCTCAAACGATTTCTATGTGCGATGTGGCTCTGATGGACAATGGGACTTCAACAACCTTCGATGTTCAGGTAGGATGCTTACCCTGTGTTGTGGAATATTGGAATTACCAATATTCCACTCATATGGCGGTGGTCTGTAATTAATACTGTCTGGACCAGACAATCCCGTGATCAACAGCATAAGTATTGATCTATGCCATTGGGATACGATAATATGTGTCAACCAAGTCAGCAAGCCAGACCGCCCAATCCTGTTAGTCACCTCTTACACCAGGCATGGGTTGTTTAAGACCAATTCTAACCCAGATCTTCACACGTAGGTTTAGAGGAGGTCCACAGTAGCCCATGCATTTAATATCAGTCAGGGACAAACAGCATCTCTGCTGTATTATGCCGCATCTCTGTTGAATCTTGCTGTCTATGTGGTGTATCTCTGACTTATCTTGCTGCATTTCTATTGTATCTTGTTGCATCTGTATTGGATCTTGCTGCATTTCTGCTGTATCTTGCTGCATTGTTGTTGAAACTTGCTGTATTTCTGCTGTATCCTGCTCCATTGCAGTTAAATCTTGCTGCATCGTTGCTGCATTCTGCTACATCTCCATTGAATATTGCTGCATCTCTGCTGAATCGCGCTGCATTCTTGCCTCATCTTTACTGAACCTTGCATCTCTGCTGTATATTGCTGCATCTCTGCTGAATCTTGCTGCATCTCTGCTGAATCTTGCTGCATCTCTGCTGAATCTTGCATCTCTTCTCAATCTTGCTGCATCTCTGCTACATCTTTCGGCATCTCTTCTCAATCTTGCTGCATTTCTGCTGAATGTTGCTGCATCTCTGTTACATCTTGCGGCATCTCTTCTCAATCTTACTGCATCTCTGCTACATCTTTTCTCAATCTTGTTGCATCTCTTCTCAATCTTGCTGCATCTCTTCTCAATCTCTTCTGCATTGCTTCAGAATCTTGCGGCATCTGCTGAATCATGTGGCATCATTGTTGCACCCTGTGGGGAATAGGGATAAGAATAGGTACTCAGCAACCTATATATAATATTTGTTGAATGCAGCGTCTTTGTAGATCATTTGATGAGACTTGGCTGATTGTTGGTGAAAATCCTGAATGCTCAGTGCTGTTCTCGTCCATGCTGGAATATTAACAAGCCACCCTTGATATAGCTGAAAGATCAATGAGTGCATCCTCAAGAAATATAAAAGATAAAATTATCTGTCTAACTTACTTCATTGCTGAAGGGGCGGTGGGGAAGGTTAACTGTTAAAGCATTCGCTCATCATGCTGAAGACCCGGGTTCCATTCCCTACATGGGTACAATGTGTGAAGCCCATTTCTGGTGTTCCCCACTGTGATATTGCTGAAATATTGCTAAAAGCGGCATATAACCATACTCACACACTCATTGCTGAACATTCAGTTCAGCATGAAAAGCTGATGCAGAGTACAGTCAAATCCCGATGAGTCGAATCGCTGGGGACCAAGTAATAAATTCGACTTATCAGTGTATTGGAGACATAGGTATGTCTATGAGGGTAGATAAAAAGATGATCGAATATTGAACAAGTCCTTTTTTCAGCACATCATATCAAAATATAGCACACGTCAATACATTAGGTGACATAGATAATGAAAACAAATAGTATATAAATATGAACACATTTCAATACTAGCACAATGAAATACAAAATACATGTACGTCTTAAAATCCATGAACAAAATCTATCGGCAATCAACAGATATACATGGCGCCATCTTGAATCTAGTTGAAACAAAAAGACGAACTCACTTATGGAAAAAGTCTGACATTAATGTCAATTACCCAATCAACAAATAAACCAGACGTCATCCAGGCAGACTTGTGACAGTATGAAGTCGGCAGAGATCTGACGTTCTTAAAACAACACGGCTTAGCAGATTTCCCTATCACTAATAGGGGCACCTTATCAGTTCCAGTCTGATTAGCACAGACAAGGACAGTTAGGCGTTCTTTTGATTGTTTGTGCTAATTCTTTCGTTTCCGTAAAATCACTAATCTGCCTTTGGAACTCACTCGTCAATGGCGGAAAGGTGTGAGCCACGCTGGTTTGTTAATTGCATCAGTTAGCTACACAAATTACCTTCTCATTGACTGACTTCGGCTAATGTATACAAGATTGCTGTTGTTTGAATCTTATAGAACAAATTTCCTTCTCGAGTCATCGTGTGTATTTATGAGACGAATTCGTGTAACCAGAAATCAAATGATGACAACTGTAACAGGGAATGGTTGGGACCGACAGATACTTCGAGTTATGCATAATATTCGAGACACTGGCATTCGACTCATCGGGATTTGACTGTATATTCCTTTAAACATAGTTTGTTGTACCCTAAGTTGAAAGTAAATGGAATATATGTCATCAGTGCTGTTCAGATTGGATCATTTCAAGGCCAAAACTATTAGAGTATTATGGGAAGACAAGAGACTACGTTGTGTTGCCTCAGCATTTTTGACGCATCAACGAACACTTATTGACAAACTTGGTAAATATAGATTTGAAATTTGAGATGGAAAAGCTGCACAGTGATTTACTATTTCAATTATATCTCTTGCTCTGTTAGGCACATCCTCGATAATCTCCAGGGTATACGTTACGGTCACTCTCCACTATACCCTGGATGCATCCACGTCTTGACCCGATAATTATATTACCTCCCTTTGCTGGCTCCGCATTCTCACAGTAGTCAATCAGCTAAGCCGCCGTTACATCCGAGTTTGCCAGCGTCAACAAAGATAGCGGTTGCAGCCGCGAAAGTTTGTTCACAGTGCGACTCAGATTTTGTTTTTGTTTGTTTGTTGTTTTGTTTTTGGGGGGTTTTGGGGGGGAGGGGGGAGGAGAGGAAAGAGAGAGAGGAAACAGACAAATTGACATGTCTGAAATCTTAAACAAATATTAGCAAGAAATCCTTCTACCTCTTTCCGAGTACCTCTGCAACAATATATTATTACCTTGCCAAGTGTAATTGGTTCGATTATTTAAAAAGCGAAAGTGAGTTGTGATTGGTACGCTCAACTTCCCAGCGTAGACACCTGACTGGATAGAAAGCCAGCAAAGGGAGGTAATAAAATCATCGGGCCAAGACGTGGATGCATCCAGGGTATAGTGGAGAGTGATCGTAACGTATACCCTGGAGATTATCGAGGATGTGTTAGGTATTGTTTCAGAAGCATTGTCTGAAACTCATGTGTGTATTGTGTCATAAACGAAGCTGGTAATAACAATCAACTGTGCCTACATTTCTTCCAAATCTACCAGTGATAAAGCTAAAACATACCCTCAAAACTAAACTTGAAATAAAGAGTCGTTTCAATTTTATGTGTTTTTCATTATTAAAACTGGAAATATGCAATGAGAAATCTGGTATGTATTGATAAATCCTTGCATGAATAACGAACCAACAGATTTCATATTATAACATTGCTGATGGCTAAGATTATTTGAAATGTTAAAACTGAAATACTGGAAGTGACTCGGGAATGTTTTCTTGTGTTGTAGGCCCAACGTGTACGGATCCTGGCACCCCACCTGGTGCACAGCAGGTGGCGACGTCATACGAAGAATACAGCTTGGTGTATTACCGCTGTGATCGAGAGCTTGCAGGCTTCTTACCCACCAACCCGTACCCCCTTGAATGTGTCTACAACTATCAAAATGGCAGTCTACAGTGGAATGCAACTATGCCTACCTGCACAGGTAGGACCATTCCCTTTTGTCCTTGATGACCTGCAAGGGGTGCTTAAGTAGGCGTGACTATGGAGGGGGAAACAAGTGTTGCAATCATGATAGTCTATTGTGACCAACTATTGCAATAGTTTTTTTCTCTTTTTGATTTGTCTCCTAAATGTCATTTCCCAAATGAATGAAATATTTATATGAAATAAAAACAAGTTGAAGTAGTTTCAGTTTCTTTTAATAACTTACAAGAAACTGGAAACCCAGATCAAGTAAACATTTTAAACATGAACTCAATGAAGCTGCAAGTCTACACCCACACATCCTGTATTTCACGCTGCGCATTTATCAACGGAGATCAATTACTAAACTATCGATAGTCATACGTATCTATCAATGCATCGAAAGTTTTTCATTTCTACCATCGATTAATTGCTATCAGAGACTCAACACTTGCAATCCACCGATAGTTCGATGCATCATTAAGGCCCTAGGTGTTTGGTAGTCTGGTCATCTAAAGTGTAGCAATCGATGGTGCAGAGTTGTCTCCTCTTTATTGGAATCTCAAATTTGTTCTGAGTGGTTCTTGATTTGTCAGCATTATACCTGTCCCAGCAACAGAAACTGTTATCATTGTTCAGTTGTTATTTTTTTAAAAATTTCTTCAATGCTATAATGTGTTGTGACCAAAACACTTCTCCAGTATTTCTGTAACATTCCTGTAATATTGCTAATACATTCTGCAACATTGCTTCATTCCTGCATAATTATTTTAGCTAAATTCCTGCTAAGTGCCTACACCATCACTAAATTCTAGCAACACTGCTTCAACATTGCAGCATCATAACCACCTCTGTGGTGTAGTGGTTAGAGCATCCACCTGGAGAGAGGAAGGTCGTGGGTTCAATTCTCGGCCTCGTCATACCTAAAGACGTTAACATTGGTACTTGTTGGTCCCTGCCTGGCACTCAGCATTAATGGGTACAACAAGGACTGGTTGGCTTGGAGTCAGTATAATGTGTCAGAGTGGGGTATTCATGCTTTAGTGCGGCATGGTATCTTAGTGAGCTAGCACTATAAAACCAGGTTAAGTTTGGGCTAGTACAAGCAGCCACACATACATACGCATGCACGTCGTCATATGAGCAAACTTTTCTTAAGTACAACGTTATACCCCATTTCGCCTCACCTCCAGTATCATATACCTATATTGTTGACTGACATGCTTCTCATGTCGTTTTTTGTGAAATACGGCTCAGGACTCACAAAATTAGTTCACTGGGGACACATAATATGCAGTTCCAATTAGCAGCTATTCTTTTGTTTAGATGTCCTGAATGTGCCTGTTTTCAGATCAGGAGCGACCTTTCTTTTACAACTGCCCGTCCAGCGAGAGGTCAGTCAGGCGGTTCAACCCTCTGCCCATTATTGACCCCAATCCACAGGATAACAGTAACCTACTGCTAAGGCGGAGTGTGTCACCAGCCAACTTTCGGGGAAACCAGACTCTCATTGCTTCTGATACGCAGGTGCTGTACGGAGCTGAGGACTACGCAGGGAACATTGGCACATGTTCCATCAATGTCAAGGTCATTGGTGAGTTCAGCGAGTTTAGAAGGTGTTGATGCTGTTGGGAATGATTTGACTTTGTACTGTGTGTCATTATTGAAGTTTGCATCGTCAAGGTCAAGGTCTTTCCACCAGTGTCAAGGTTATTGGTTAACAACCTTAGCTGGTTCACGATTGAGGTGAATGATTCTAATCTGGGTACTGGTTTCATATCTCTAAGTAAGTTTGCGTTGTCACTGTCAAGGTCATTGGTGAGTAAACATCTTAAGATGGGACCGCCTCCGTGGTGTAGTGGTTAGAGCGTCCGCCCGGAGAACGGAAGGTTGCGGGTTCGATCCCCGACCGCGTCATACCAAAAGACGTTAAAATATGGTACTTGTTGGTCCCTGCCTGGCGCCCGGCATTAATGGGTACAACAAGGACTGGTCGGCTCGGAGTCAGTAAGTAAAACCAGTTTAAGTCTGGGCTAGTACAAGCAGCCACACATACACATACACATGCATGCACGTCGTCGTATGAGCGAAATATTCTCAAGCACGACGTTAAACCCAATTTCACCTCACCTCACATCTTAAGGTGGTGCCATGACATGTCTGGTTTTGCCCAGAATGTAAATACACTCCACCTCTTTTCTTGCTCTTCTTGAGCTGTATCATTGCTCATATCACTCTCCTTGTATTGCCTGTATTTTGGCTAAAATTCAATGCCTGTCACTACAAGGTAAACGAGTCATTATTATCGTTTCATTCCAACCTGTATATGTTTTTATTGGATCAAGAAGATCTTTGACAAATTTATCAGGACACCTTGTCTCCCTACAGATGAGGAACCTCCCATTCTGACGTGTCGAGACTCCTTCAACTATCAGCTCCAGGATGAGTTCGACTCACAGACGTATGATGTAACAACCTTTGCTTCGGCCACAGACAACATGGGCAGGAGCAGCTTGCAGTTTTCCTTCACTCAGTTGTCCCTGGACAAGAACAGCATCGGCACAATTCACACCATCACCGTGACGGCAAGAGATGATGCAAACAATGAAGACACTTGCATCATACAGGTCACAGTGACAGGTGAGTGATCCCTGCATGGTGTAGGAGTGGCGGCTGAGTAGGACAGCGCTGTATTACCGCTATACTGGTATGTACCGCAATACACCTTTCAAACAATATGTATTGCAATGATTTTCTCAGAATCGGTATATTTGGTAATACAGTCAAATCCCGTTGAGTCGAATGCCGGTGTCTCGAATATTATGCATAACTCGAAGTACCTGTCGGTCCCGACCATTCCCTGTTACAGTTGTCATCATTTGAATACCGGTTACACGAATTCGTCTCATAAATACACACGATAACTCGAGAAGGAAATTTGGTCCCATGAGATTCAAACAACAGCAATCTTGTATACATAAGCCGAAGTCAGTCAATGAGAAGTTGATCCAATTAACAAACCAGCGCGGCTCACACCTTTCCGCCATTGACGGGTGAGTTCAAAAGGCAGATTAGTGATTTTACAGAAATCACTGTCTGTGATAATCAGACTGGAACTGATAAGGTGCCCCTATTAGTGATATGGAAATCATTAGATAAACAAATGCTTAGGCGGAGGAATTAGGACTGGATCATCTTTTTTTCTACCCTCATAGACATACCTATGTCTCGAATACATTGATAAGTCGAATTTATTACATGGTCCCTAGCAATTCGACTCATCGGGATTTGACTGTATATTGTATAGCATGTAGGTGTGCTATATGTAACCATTTTAGTTTTTCAATCCTAAGCTATAAGCATAAATAAGTATCACTAATATATTCTTATCTTTACTATCCCTTTCACTTTTAGATTGAAATATATATAACATGTAAATATAATGTCATCATTTAATCATTTTTAAGGGGTTTGGGGTAGCCTAGTGGTTAAAGCGTTGGCTCGTCACGCCGATGACCCGGGTTCGATTCCCCACATGGGTACGTGTGAAGCCCATTTCCGGTGTCCCCCGCCGTGATATTGCTGGAATATTGCGGATAGCGGCGTAAAACCATACTCACTCACTCACTCACTCAGAACCGGTATATTTGGTAATACAGTATCCATGAAGTTCTGTGATCATCTCCGTGGTTTAAGTTTAAATCTACACAGACTTTCATTCACATCATTGTAATTACTTGACAAAACAGCATACTTTACATACAAAGCATTTTATAGAAAAGAAAATACAATCCCTCAAAATCAAATAAAAATTCGAAATTTCTGTTATCACAAATATTACATTATTTTTATGGCTTTAGTATGTAGAGAATAGGCTCTGCATGTACAATCGATGTCACTCACTGTCAAACACTTAGGCTCTCAGTAGATTGCAATATATATTGGAATACGAGTACCAGAACCACAATACATTGCAATTCAGGGCTGAGTGATCAAATGTTTGCTCTAGGAGTGAACATGTGCATGTATGTGAATCCAAAAGATGGAGCATTTTGGCACCAGCTTGTGTCAAATGCTCCTGCTGATTATGATGTTGACTTGAGGACGATTGATAAAGCTTCATCTTAATAAGGTGAGGGTAAGCAAAGGCCTGTAGTCCTCACAGCTGTCGATCTCTTGTGACAATGTCACAAGTGTTACATAGCTACCAAATAGTCAACTTTCATGATAAGTACAGGTGATCCTGTCTTGAAACTATTCTGTTTAACCAGGTAATATCACAGGTCTTGTTCCCTATAAAGATACGGTTTATAATTGGTCTTCAGCAAAGCCATGCTTCTTGTAAGAGGCAACTATAGTTTGGCATGAAATGCATGTGGACCCGTTTTTTTGTAAATATCTCTTCATCCAATGATCCAATCGATCTCAAACTGTGCAAGTGGATGTTTTGTGAGACAACCTAATCACATTGTAAATCACCGATTTTATGCATTTGTATTAAAGAATCTGTCTATGTAACTGTCAACAAAATAAACAGCAGAATGCAGACGGCTTGCAGAGGGAGGGAGCCAATGACCTGTAACCTATGCTTGTCGTTTCCTCAGGTTTCCAACAATGTATAGATATGACAAAGTAGAAGGCTTGCAAAATGCAATGGCGCAGGCGACTTCCACCGGAGGCTGGGTGGAACAAATTTCTTCCACCGGGACCTACGTGGAAGAAAAACACACAGCTTAAAATCACAGAAACCTTAATTGCTCGGCTATAAAGTTGCATAAAAACAAACAGAAACATTCTCTGTGTAGCTCCCGGACCCAGCTGTCCAATGACACGCGGCCTGCGCATGTAAGGTGATTTATGCAGCTCCCAAGGGAGCCGTGCTGAAATAGGTGATACAAACTGTGGGGCAACTAACGGGATCGGGTGGTCAGGCTTGCTGACATGGTTGACACATGTCATCGGTTCCCAATTGCGCAGAACGATGCTCATGCTGTTGATCACTGGATTGTCTGGTCCAGACTCAATTATTTACAGACCACCACCATATCGCTGGAATATTGTTGAGTGCGGTGTAAAACTAAACTCACTCACTCACTCACTGTTTTACCTTATTCAGGTCCTGTTTGTGTACCATGGACTGTGAACATCGAGAATGGGCAGAAATCTTGTCTGAACACTGGTGTCGGCAGCCAGTGCACTATCACCTGCAACTCTGGCTACACGCTTTTCGAGACAAATGATGCTGTATCAACGACGATCCAGTGTAGCTTCACAACAGGCTGGCCGACTTTGCCCAAATGTGTCCGTATGTAGCTTCATATCTTTGTAGGGATAGTGGAATAGCCTCGTGTAGGTAGCATCACTTTCAACTATTGAGGGGCAGTGGGGTAGACTAGTGGCTAAGACGTTCGCTCGTCACGCCACCGTGATATTGCTGGAATATTGCTATAAGCGGTGTAAAACTAAACTCACTCACTCACTGTCAGCTATTGAAACTCACTAGTGGCCTAGTGGCTAAGGTGTTCGGTAGTCACGCCAAAAACCCAGGTTCGATCCCCGCATGGGCACAATGTGTGAAGCCCGTTTCTGGTGTCCCCCACCGTGATATTGCTGGAATATTGCTAAAAGTCTAAAACTTAACGCACTCACTCACTCTTTGATGTGATGAGGGAAGGCTTTAACCAATAGGCTACCCTGTGCAGAAGATCTTGAGAACTAAGAATGTTGTTAGCCTGGAAAGATTTTACTGTTTGTTGACATGTGACCTTTGTTACAATATTTGTAGGCAAGACGAGAACCCCATACCGCTATGCCCCGAGCTTCCGCTATGTGACTGCGACTGTCATCACCACTGAGTGTGAAAGTTCTTATCAGAATGACTTGTCTAACAAGATTGCAGCTCTCCTGCCATCCCTCAGTGCCCTGTGTCAGGGCCAGGTGCCCTCTGTGACAGTATCACTCCCGACCAACTACTCCCCAGTCACCATCTCCTCCTTCTCTGGTGTGGTAAGTACAGAGACAATCACCAGCTGTGGTAGGATAAGTCCATGATAATGGATAAGTGCAGGTTTTGATGATGATGATGATGATGATGATGATGGTGATGATGATGATGGATAAGTGTTGCTGCTGCTGATGACAGTGATGCTTTATTATGGATGAGTGCAGATGATGATGATGATAATGATGATGTAGATGATGATGTAGTATGGATGAGATGATGATGATGATGATGTAGATGATGATGTAGTATGGATGAGTGCAGATGATGATGATGATGTAGACGATGATGTATTATGGATGAGTGCGGATGATGATGATGATGATGTAGATGATGATGTATTATGGATGAGTGCAGATGATGATGATGATGATGTAGATGATGATGTAGTATGGATGAGTGCGGATGATGATGATGATGATGTTGATGATGATGAGTGAGTGAGTTTAGTTTTACGCCGCACTCAGCAATATTCCAGCTATATGGCGGCGGTCTGTAAATAATCGAGTCTGGACCAGACAATCCAGTGATCAACAGCATGAGCATCGATCTGCGCAATTGGGAACCGATGACATGTGTCAACCAAGTCAGCGAAACTGACCACCTGATCGCGTTAGTCGCCTCTTACGACAAGATAGTCGCCTTTTTATGGCAAGCACATGGGTTGCTGAAGACCTATTCTACCCCGGATCTTCACGGGTCTGATGATGATGATGATGATGTAGATGATGATGTAGTATGGATGAGTGCGGATGATGATGATGATGTATATGATGATGTATTATGGATGAGTGCAGATGATGATGATGATGTAGATGATGATGTATTATGGATGAGTGCGGATGATGATGATGATGATGATGATGATGTTGATGTCGATGTTGATGATGATGGATAAGTGCTGCTGCTGCTGATTTATTATGGATGAGTGTGGATGATCATGGCCACTCTCACATGACAATTTTCCCCCTCCTTCAGGTAACAGGAACGTTTAACCTGGAGTTTCTTCCCCATGGGTACTCAGCAAGTCAATACTCACAGTGTGTCAACACCATCAAGACCATCTTCTCTACTAGCAACAACATCATCAGCAGCGTGCTGCAGCTTGCACAGGTGGGCAGCTGTGCTGCGTCGTCACGAGGGACGTACAATGGGGCCGCAGCAGAGGGCATTGGTTGTTATGGCGTGGAAGAAATCCGGAGTTCCGTTATAGAATCTGGAAACATCTGTGGTGAGTTCAAATTATGTTTGTTAGGCAAGACTTCATCATTTTTCTGTTTATGTCTATGATTTTTTGCTCAGAAGTTAAGACTTTGTGTCCCTATTTACAGAATTTAAGATGACATTATAGTATATTTGTAGCGCTATGAGCATACACATAGTGTATGGAGTTGGTGCCATATAAATGGACTCATTATTATTATTGTTGTTATTTACTGGTACGTAAAAAGATTTTTTTTCCAAGTTTTGTCTTCTTTTTTTCATACCACAAAATGTTCAGTATGATGGGGTGTGAAGCCATTTCTGGTGTCCCTAATGCCACGATATTGCTGGAATATTGCTAAAAGAGGCGTGAAACCATACTCACTCACTCAATATGATGAGACAAGAACATTGAACGAAGTAAATTGAAGGTCAGAGTTATTAGGATAATTTTAAACATGTTTCAAGTTTAGTGTTTTGAATAGCCAGGTGAATTTTTCAATGATCTTTCAACTTTCTCGTTAGTTTTGAGAGAAAATGTTCAGTTCGGTGGGCCTTTAAAGGATGTTAGAGAAAAGTGTTTGGCCTCTATCTTAGATCTAGAGAAGAATGTTTTGTTCTTCAAATCCCTATTTGTATTAGATTAATGATACCAATAATATTTATTTTTGTCCAGTGGCCTGTCCCCCTGGCTTTGTAATCAGTGGCAGTCAGTGCAGTCAGTGCGGACCTCACTCTTACAGGGAGATGGCATCAGTGAATTGTCTGCCCTGTCCTCCAGCCTCCCTCAACTTCGGTTCAGGACTCATCAGCCTGGCTGAATGCTATCGTAAGTCTGTTGTTAAATTCAAGGAATGATATTGAGAGAAAGAAACTGGTGATGGGTGGGTGAATTAGACAGTGACAGAGTGAGAGAGAGACACACACACTTGGTGACAGAGGGAGACAGAGAGAGAAACACAAGTTTTAGGGACACTCAGAGAGAGACAGACAGAGAGAGTGAGTCAGTGAGTGAGAGATGGAGACACTGAGTGAGAGAAAGAGACACTGTGAGTGAGTGAGTTTAGTTTTACGGAGCACTCAGCAATATTCCAGCTATATGGTGGCAGTCTGTAAATAATCTAGTCTGGAACAGACAATCAAGTGATCGAAAGCATAAGCATCGATCTACGCCATTTGGGATACGATGACATGTGTCAACCAAGTCAGCAAACCTGACCACCCGATCCTGTTAGTCGTCTCTTACGACAAGCATGGGTTACTGAAGATCAATTTTCTTACCGGATTTTCATGGGTAGAGAGACACAGAGTGAAACAAAGAGTGAGAGAGAAAGACAAAGTGAGGAGAGAATGAGAGTAAGAGAGAGACAAAGAGAGTGAGAGAGACACTGAGAGAGAGACAAAGAGTGAGAGAGAGACAGAGACAATGAGTGAGAGCGAGAGGGAGGGGGGAGATCCTCGAGTGAAATGTTAAATTTGACACCTGAAACAGATAATCAAATGATGTCCTCTCTCTCGCCTTTCTCTCAGGTGTGTGTCCAACGGGGACGGTCTCTCCATCTGGAGAGGCACCATGCAACCAGTGCCCCGTGAACACCTACAGCATCAACACCACCTACTGCCAGCCATGCCCCACCGGACAGGTCACACGTGGGTCGGGTCACTCCTCCAACACTGCTTGCAAAAGTAAGTCTCCGTTCAGGGTGGGTAATCTTGAGAGTGAAACTTGAAATTGTACTGGACAATATCTGTTTAGCAATTGTTGCTATTTGGATATGGTATGAGTGTCAGATTCTGTCATCTGACATTAATCCATCTTGAAATTAGAAAAAACGTATTGTAAGTTAAATAACTCAACATGTCATAATGCATCAAAAGACCACTGAGTGATGCTCATTCTCGATATTATTTTATTGGCTTCCACATGAGTTACAGAATGTAAGTCATATTCTTGTATTAATTTGTGATCGTTACATAAAATGTCTTAAATATTCTTGGTCTTAGTTTTCAATTGCACTGGCATATCATGTGGATATAATTAATAATTTACAAGCATATCCTACTAAGAATAAAAAGGCAGCAATATAAACAACAGCTATGAAGTAGTAGCTCACTGAGTCCTTTTTGCTCGGGGCGCATGATATTCTTTTTCTGTATCCATTTGTACATCGTGAAAAGGGTTGGCGGGGGTAGCCTAGTGGTTAAAGCATTTGCTCATCACGCTGAAGACCCGAGTTTGCTTGCCCACATGGGGACAATGTGTGAAGCCCATTGTGTCCCCTGCCATGATATTGCTGGAACATTGCTGAAACAATGTCATTTGCTTGATAACGGTGTTAGTAGCTACACCGAAACGTAGCTCATAATATATTAAAGAAGTTGTATTTCCATAGAACTCTCCTCGTTCATCACACCAACTTCTAAATGCCACTCAAACAAGTTATTGCTGAAACAGTAGTGTAAAACCACACTTATTTACTCACATCATGTAAAACCCTGGTCTGCTGTTTCCAGATCGGTGCCAGCCGGGCACATACTCCAGCACTGGACTTGCACCGTGTCTCAGCTGCCCCAAAGCCTTCTATCAGCCCTCAGCGGGGGCAACAACATGTCTAGAGTGTTCCTCCATCACAACCACGTCATCAGTTGGGGCTACATCGTCGGCACAGTGCATCACGGCCAGTAGGTTGTCTTGTATATTCAGTCGGACATCATTAGTTTGGAAACCTTGATGGACAAAACTGTTGTTAATCAGCATTTACCCAGTCTAGACACCCTGTTAACAATGAAACCTGTTTGCCCCAAAACCCATGTTTGTGTTGAAACCTTTGAACCCAGAAATGCTATTATCTTTGAAACGTAATTGCCTGAAACCCATGTTTCAGTTGAAACCTTTTAACCCAGAAATGCTATTATCTCTGAAACATGTTTGCTCAAAAACCCATGTTTGTGTTGAAATCTGTTGCACTAGAAATGCTATTATCTCTAAAAAGTAATTGCCCCGAAACCCATGTTTGTGTTGAGACCTTTTAACACAGAAATGCTATATTATCTCTGAAATATTTTTGCCCCCAAGCCCATGTTTGTGCTGAAAACTGTTAGACCCAGTTAGTCTCCTTTCATATGATCTCATTTTGGAAGACTTCAAAGAAATACCGATGATTCTATGAATTTATTTCTTCTCTTGCAGTCAGTTCCGTGTGTCCCAGTAACAAATGCCTCAACGGGGGAACCTGTAGAGTTGTCAACCATGACTACTTCTGTGACTGTCCACCCGGTAAGTAGGTCATTCATAAATAGGGAACATGGAGACTTCAAAACTCATCCCTACTCATTCTCTTCCCACAGAGGTTACTTGTCATATCTTCCTATGAACCTCTGTTCTAATACTGCCCTTTCATGGTGCGAGTGTTCAGGATTCGGGATTGGTTGCAATCAGATTTAGTTGTGCAATCAGCGACCTTGTTTCAAAAGTGATCATTCGCAAGGACTCGGTAATTTCCGTATGCTTTGGGAAAACTGGAACCTCTTCCCCTGCGCCATACACAAACGTTTCTTCTTGACAGAACCACCTCCCTCGTTGACAACGGACAAGCTTGCCATTAAATGTTTTGTGTGTCACATCAACACAAGTCCCCGGCAGAGAAGAGGGATATTTGTGGCCCCATTTTTACTTACATCAATGTAATACGAGTTCTGATTTGATAGAAAGAAGGGAGGTAATTCGTGTTGCAATTTTTTGCCGCTAGGGGATTTTACGAGAACCGGGAAATATGGCCGTATTAGAACAGAGGTTCGTAGGAAGATATCACAAGTTACCTCTGTGGGAAGAGAATGATCCCTACTGGGTTCTGAGACAAAGACCTTTCATGAACATTTTTATGGGTGACAGGGTCACCTGGTGGTAGGTTCGATTCCGAACATGGGTACAATATGTGAAGCCCTTTTCTGATGTATCCACTTAGCAATATCCCAGCTATATGGCGGCGGTGTGTAAATAATCGAGTCTGGACCAGACAATCCAGTGAACAAGAGCATGAGCATTGATTTATGCAAACGGGATACAATAACGTCAACCAAGTCAGCAAGCCTGACCACCCGATCCCATTAGTCGCCTCATAAAACAAGCATGGGTTACCGAATGTCAGTTCTAACCTGTGAAGATCTGTGAAGATCAATTCTAACCCAGATCTTCACGGGTCACTTCTATGAAGCAATGTCAAAAGTATTTCAGTATGACATGAAGTAGACATTGGTAACTAAACTGGACAAAAATCTGTGTAATTTTGCCAGAAATGTGTTCTGACCTTGCTGATTTTCTTTGTGTAGATTTCACAGGGTCTGCGTGTGTGACGGAACTTAAAGCGTGTGACTCCAGTCCCTGCTACAACAACGGCTTCTGCATCAACCAGGGAGCCCTTGCCTACACCTGCCACTGTCCATCAAGTATGTCATGTTAAGGCTGAATGATCATTTATTGAATTATTCAACTTATCTTCAATTACCCGTCAATGCATTTACTGCTTGTCATTTACATCAATAACAGAGAAAGTCCATCTGAAAGGACAACCAATAAGAGTATTTTATATTATTTATCACTTTTTTTGGTCATCATCTGCATTAGTTCATGTCGAATCATGGAGTTAGGCGGCTGACTTTGTGTGCTGTCGAGGGTGTGGGTTCGAATCCCGGATGTACAAAGGTTCTAGAATCTGTACTTTACTGACCACTTTCTAAAATGGCATTGTGTATTCATGACATCATTCAGGTTATACAGTGTTACAGAAGTTACAGAGAACCAGTTTTCTTTGTTTCTTTTAGTGAACAATGAGCTGTTATTTATTAGAAATATTTGCTAGGTGTAAAAATAAATAAATCTTAGAAATGTTTCAATGTTATTGTGTGAATATTTAACCACCTTTCATATGCTGACATTAATCTGAACTAATAATTAATTAACAGTGTTCATTGACTTGCTTGGTAAACACAATAATGGCGGAAACATTAACACGAATACGAGTTCAGATTTTAAGGTGCATTCTCCGGGGCAACTTGTAGTAACAGACTTGATTATTTACAGACCATGGTCATAAACTAGAAAATTGGTAAGTGCGGCTTCAGCAGCCAATGACACAAACAAACAGACCGCCTCCGTGGTGTAGTGGTTAGAGCATCCGCCCGGAGAGCGGAAGGTCGCGGGTTCGATCCCCGACCGCGTCATACCAAAAAGATGTTAAAATATGGTACTTGTTGGTCCCTGCCTGGCTCTCGGCATTAATGGGTACAACAAGGACTGGTCGGCTTGGAGTCAGTATAATGTGTCTGGGTGGGGTATTCATGCTTCACTGCGGTATGGTATCTCAGTGGGCTAGCACTATAAAACCAGCTTCAGTCTGGGCTAGTACAAGCAGCCGCACATACACATACACACGCATGCACGTTGTCATATGAGCGAAATATTCTCAAGCACGACGTTAAACCCAATTTCACCTCACCTCACACAAACAAACAAGTTGGGAGCTATCTCAGAAAACCTTCAGAATACTGGGACTGCTGCTCGGTACTGAGAGAGGCAGATGGATATCAGGACTCTGTGCAAATTTGACTGATGCTGCCATCATGACTGTAGGATGTTTGATAAGTTTTGAAAAATAATGTCAGTTAAATTTATAGTGTGTGCCGGGAAACATATGTTGAAGTTGTTGTGAGTTTCGGGTTTATAGATAGCGCCAGCATGAACGTTATTTTTATACCTATTTCTGGAAACAGTTTTTAAGGAACTGTCATGCTCTGTGTACAAATTGTCATCTTTATCGGACGGTGCACAATGCGGAGAAAAACAGACCATATCCAAATAGGATCTGAGAAATATAACAGGATTCCTGGTTCAACCAAGTTTCACTGTGTATCTTTTAAATGCATGTGTTTTTGTTTATTTCTGTCTCAGTTATTTTTTTCAAATAATGAAACTAACTGCTGTGTAAACAGGTGTGGGAAGCTCAACTAGTAAGTATGTGTATTATCTGCCCTTATCTTCTGCTTCCAGTGGTAGAGGTGGCTTGACAACTACTTAGATATCATGCTAAGAAAATAATCTTCAATAGACCCCATTCTGTTTCTTCCCTTTCTGAAGGTGCGGTGGGATAGCCTAGCGGTTAAAGCGTTCGCTCGTCACGCTGAAGACCCAGGTTCAATTCCACTCATGGGTACAATATGTGAAGCCCATTTCTGCTGTCCCCCGCCATGATATTGCGGGAATATTGCTAAAAGCGGCGTAAAACTAAACTCACTCACTCGCTCTCTTTCTGAAACAGGGATCCACAAAGCAATCTTAGTGCTAAGACTGTGTTAAGCTATTTTGATTTTGGGGGAGGTATGACATGAGACAGTCTACCCTATTGTGGCTTTTTCAATCTTTGTTGTCAAGTTTATTACATTAACATTGATTTTGTTTACACCAGGGCCTAGATTTTCGAAGCTCTCTTAGCACTAAGATAGTCTTAAGTTAATGTTAATGTATAGCACTTACGACTATGTTTGCGCTAAGAGAGCTTTGAAAATCTAGGCCCAGGATTATAAGTTTCAGGGTATTGAGGGGAGGATAGAGGGTTCAGTTCCCCATGTGGGTACATTGTGTGAAGGCCATTTCTGGTTTCCCCTACCATGTTATTGCTGGAAAATTGATAAATTCAGCATAAAACCAAACTCGCTCTTTTAAGCTGTTGTGAAGTAAGGGTGTTATAAGTGTTGACCTGCTGGACAACAATGTGAAGATCCGGGTTAGAATTGATCTTCAGCAACCCATGCTTGTTGTAAGAGGTGACTAACGGGATCGGGTGGTCAAGCTTGCTGACTTGGTTGACACATGTCATTGTATCCCAATTGCTTGGATCGATGCTCATGCTGTTGAACATTGGATTGTCTAGTCAGCACTCGATTATTTACAGACCGCTGTCATATAGCTGGAACATTGCTGATTGCGGTATTAAACAACAAACTAACAAACAAGCTTGAGAAGCAGGGTGATCTTCGACTTGACAGTTAGTGATCTGTGTGTTTTGAAAGAGTCTGTTTTTTTGGGTAGGGTGGAGTCTGACTCAATGCGCATGGGGCTTGTCCTCAAGTGTTGTCAAAGCCAAGGATCTGCGATTAGATGCCTCACTTTAATGTGTGGGTTAGCACCCAGCATGGGACTCAATCCAACAAAAGTACTTGAAACTGTACTTTATTGAGAAAGTGTAATCCCAAACATAACATGTTACGTTTGACCACTTTCTAAATGGCATTGTGTATTCTTTCCACCCCCTTGTTATTGACTGCTTGAAATTCTGCAGATCAGAGGTTCAAGTATTTGGTCATGTTTATAGCAGTAGCTCTGAGGTGGCTTTGTGGAATATAACCCTGATGTAGTTTTGATCCAGAGTCCAATGTCAGCTCAGAAGACAGGATCTGTGTTAATCTTTTCCTGACATATGTGACTTCATCTTTAATCTTTACCTCTAGCTTTTTCAGAAAGAATTGAATTTAACATAAATATTCAAATAAATGATCGTTTTAAATATAAGCTTTATGTTATTGTCTGTCGTACATCTATCAAAACTTAAGCGAGCAGTGAAAACTTTCAAACAACAAGCAATTTGTTATCAGTCAAGTATGTTGTACCAGGGCACTTGAATTTACAAATCAGCAGATAAACTTAATAGTTTCTATATGTACAGTGTTTTAAATTGAATGTTAATGTGACAATTTGGTTTGCAACTGTCATTTGCAATATGTTTCAGTGCCTTTAAAGCCCAGTTAACAATCAAAGGAGTGCTTGGTAGTACTCTAGCCCTACAGAAATTCTGTCCCCAATGTGTCATCATTCCATAGATAATTATTTTGTCATATTTTGAAGTTTAGTTGAGTACATTTTTATGTATTTGACTGCTTCTCTCGTTACATTGTTGTCACAGCAACCAGTATAAATGATGTAAACACCCGCTGGTTTGCTCCAAGAATATTTAACTTTCTTTCTAAGATAGGTACTTTCACAATCTTAATTATTTATTTCAAGTTTCCAGATGAAATAGGAGTGGCGTTTGTGTACATTTTTTAATAGTTGAAATTATCCTGTTCTATCTTGTCTATGCTTTACAGCTTGTTTAAATATTCTTTCAATTGCCTTTTGTACAAACTGCGCTTTGTGTGAGCTCAAAACTATTTGTAAGTATTATCTGGTTCTGGATAGATTGATCCACTCTATGACTCTTTGGCATATATTTGCCCGTTGCTTCTGTGTGAACGATATTTCTGAAGGCATAATTAGTTAATGGTACATGTGTACTGTAAGATGTTACATAAAAAATATTTTTAATGTTAACATAACAAACATTTTTTATGTCACTGCATATCCTAGGTGCCCAAAATAATTTTTAGGTATTTCTTCTGAAATGATGGTGTTACTTGTTTCTTGACTCGTCTCATAAAACTTTTGCTCAAATGTTTCACTTACAGTTTTTCAGATGTTCAGGATTCTTTAGAAATTGACACATAAATGACAATAATAAACTCTAATGAAATTCAGGATTTTGACATGAACCATACATACCAGCGTTTTGCTTGTTGAAAACTTGACTTACCTTTTTGTATGCATTTGTCTCAAATTGGGACAGGCTCTGGTCACATGTTTACAAACCTCTTATGTGATTACAGTTTGATAGTGAAAGCGATGCTAAAGCATGTGGTTGAGTCAGTATGTCATACAGATATTTGTTTTGATCCAGGAAAGACTTTGATCTCTTCTATTTTCATGGATGTGAAACCCATTTCTGGTGTTCCCTGCCATGATGTTGCTAGAATATTGCAGAAAGTGGCATAAAACTATACTCTATATATCTGAAAGATGCTTGTCGTAAGAGGCGACCAACAGGATCAGGTGGTCAGGCTCGCTGACTTGGTTGACACATGTCATCGGTTCCCAATTGTGCAGATCGATGCTCATGCTTTTGATCACTTGATTGTCTGGTTCAGACTCGATTATTTACAGACCACCGCCATATAGCTGGAATATTGCTGAGTGCGGTGTAAAACTAAACTCACTCACTCACTCACTCACTGAAAGAAAGAATCTCCTTGCTGAGTTGCTGCCCAGATGACAACAATGGAGATGGTATCACGAAATGGATATCAATGTTCTCGGTTTCATCTTCTCTCGGTGATGTTATGGCTGTACTTCTCAGGTCGGTACTCAGGACTCCGATGTGAGATTGACAGAAACGATTGTGCGTTCAACCCCTGCCGCAACAACGGATCCTGTCATGACAAGGTCGGGGCGTACACGTGTCTGTGTCCTTCCTTCAGTGAATACACTGGCAGCAGGTATGTGTAACTATATCCAGACAAGTAGTTGTTTGAGATGCAAAATTGCTGTTGTAACTGCTTTGCAGCCAAATACAGTAATTTTTTATACTAGTGAACAATTATTTGTTTCCCTAAAACGTCATGCAAAACATTCTCTATTCAACCTTTTTAGAAACTTTTAAACTGGTGTCCTATTTCACCATTTCACCATTTCACAGATCACCCCTACCCACTAGGTCTGCAACGATTCACCCAGACCTATATTTGATTTGATTTTCGATACCGGACCCTCGATTTGATCATTTTCTATTCGATTCTTCATACAAGTAACAACATCAGATTTCATTTAACTTTCAGAGTTTATTAAACAAAACATATCACACTGAAAACTTGTGAAAATTTGACTGGGAAATCAGGAATGTAAATGATGTAACTTTTTTCAAACAAATAAAATATGATGTTTAAACACAGATCAGCACTCAAATATTGAATCGAAATAATCATAATGGTTATCGAAAATCGAAACTAATTCGATTTTTGATGAAACGAACCGAATGCTTACAGCTCTACTACCCACCCTTGACTAATGCATGTGAAATATGTGAAATGGTTTGTGCCTATCAGATAAAACCCCTTGAGGATTCTTGGTAAGAGTTGGTTCCTGGCATCATTCCCTGGTGGTAAGTGTTGACTTTCTGGATCTGGTAGTCCAGCCCAGTCTCTTTGTGCCCAGTGCGTGAAGTGTTACTCATGATATCAGTCACTGGATTGTCTGGTCCAGACTCGGTCATTTGTAGTCTACCTTTAAAAAGCTGAAAGTGACTAAACACTATTCTTAAATTGACACTAGAATATTTACTGTTATTGTTCCAGCTGTTCAGTTCCCCGCCAGCCTTGCACAGACAACCCATGCCCAGCCAATGCCCTGTGTACTGCTGCTGGCAACCTGCGACGCAAGTGTGTGTGCAGTCCCGGGTTAACGGGACCAGATTGTACACAAGATATTGGTAAGACGACAAGAAACAACCAGACAACCATGGTGGTATAAGCTATGAGTGTTTCCAGTTTGCTGGTCAATGTCGGTTATGGATTGTCCTCTTGAAGATCAGAGCAGTATCTATCTGCGCAGAGTTGTGCCCTCTATGCTCAATTTGCGATATTTGTTGCAAACTTGTGACAAAAATCCGAAAATATAATTTCTTCCTTACGTCATGAAATATTTGGTTAATACACAAATAAAATAACAAGGACTTAATTCCCACAGAAACTAGTAAAAGAGGGGCAGTGTTGAGCATTAATGGGGTAATTTTGTTTTTTTATGGAGAAGCATGTACAATGTGGATGACCCCCACCCTCCCCCTAAAATTTATGTACAAAGTAAGTGACACCCCAAAGCCCTGCATGTCATGTACAAAATCAATTACCTCTTCCCCCCCCCCCCCTTTCCCCGGTCCATAAGTTTTGAATATCTTTAAAGTTGCTGACCCACCTACTATATCTGATGACCCCTACCTCCCCAAAACAAAATCGGTGACCTCCCCTTAAAATCATCATTGGTCTCTTGGTTTTTATGTCATGGTATCCAGTGAGATCGGAATAGTCTACGAAGCATTGCACTTTGTGAGCTGCACATTGCTGATCTAATCCGGAAGTGTGAAACAGAAGTTCCAAAATTCCTCATGCAGGATTCCACTGTTTCAGATGAATGCCTGTCTAATCCCTGTCTGAGTGGAGGCACGTGCCGCAACGGCAACAACAGCTTCTCCTGCGTGTGCCAGCGGCTACGGTGGCAGGGTGTGCGAAGTCAGGAACAACCTGTGTTTCCCCAACTCCTGTGGCAGCCAGGGCACCTGCATCGACGACTACATCAATGACAGGGCCATGTGTGTCTGTGCCCCAGGATATGAGAGTTGTAAGCAGAAACATAAAGGTCACCATGGTGACGCTATTTCTTAACTTCAGGAACATCAGGCAATACCATTACACTCTGTCACAGCTTATTACTATTTAGTTATTATTTAAAGCTGAAAATGGTTGGCACATCTGTAAATGCAATCAGCCAATTGAATACATATGCAAATGAGGTCAGCTGACTAGCAATAATGATTAGGCACGGATTTATTCAGTATTTTAAAATTGCAACCAAATGGGGCAAGATTGGGTTTGTTTTTTTCCAAATTGTGATGTCAATACCTTAGTTTCTGAAATTCAGAGATAGTTTCATATTGTACTTCACACTGAAATCTCTTTATATATACGGAAGGTCGCGGGTTCGATCCCCGACCGCGTCATACGAAGAGACGTTAAAATATGGTACCTGTTGGTCCCTGCCTGGCGCTCGGCATTAGTGGGTACAACAAGGACTGGTCTGCTCGGAGTCAGTATAATGTGTCTGAGTGGGGTATTCATGCTTCACTGCGTCATGGTGTCTCAGTGGGCTAGCACTATAAAACCAGCTTAAGTCTGGGCTAGTACAAGCAGCCGCACATACAGATACACACATGCACATCGTCATATGAGCGAAATATTCTCAAGCACGACGTAAAACCCAATTTCACCTCACCTCACCTCTTTTTATATATGTTATTGCAAAACAGGTTATCTTTATAAAGCCATAAAATTAGTTAACAAGGTGATATTTATCTCTGTTAATATGAAATAGGAAATTTGTGATACTGAACATGCGTGTTAGAGGTCATTGGCAGCCAGGGGCCAGATATCTAGAGTAGGTCCAGATGAATTTGTTTTAGCCAATAAACACTGTTTCTGTTATCTGGTATATCCGGTAAGGAATGGTGCTTTAAAATTTTTACTGAGCAAGCAGAAAAAGCAGAAGACCTGTCAGCATACCTCATTTGCATATTTATTAGGGCTGTGCAACATAACCGGCTCAGACATGAAAACGATACGTATTGCGATATGCTGATCGAAAACCGGTATTTTGACATGCATTACAAATAAAGCGTTAACTCGATTATAAGTAGTTTACTGTTAACAAAAACTTCTTGCAATATATTGCAATTCATATCGCAATATATGCTTTCACATCGCAATATATTGCAATATGAAAATTCTCTGCAATACCCACCCCTAATATTTATTGCAGTGTTTCTGCTGGCAATTTTTACAGCTGGACATTGTGGCCGGCTAGCATTTCAAATACCGGTCATTTGTAAATTTTACGGGTCAAGTGATCTAGCTTTTCATTGTGTATGAGACCTTGCACCCTAACAACCAATCAGAAATGTAGAGGGTATCGCAATGCGTCATTGCTGCTATTTTTAGCCTAGGGTTTTCCAAAACTGCTTTCCAGTAGTCTACTTGCGCATGTGATGTAATATATGTGATAGGTGAAGCATGTTTGATGTCACTTTCAGTGAATAACTTGTGTGTGGCGAAGAACCCGTGCTCAAGCTTGCCTTGTATGAATGGCGCCACATGTCAGGCGAGTGGGTCCACCTTCAGCTGCAGTTGTCTGCCAGGCTATGAGGGCTTCCACTGTCAGCACGAGACAGACGAGTGTGCGTCACAGCCATGTAAGAACGGCGCCACCTGTGTTGACAGGTACCTGGATTACACCTGTATCTGTGAGCCTGGAAAGGCCGACACTGGAGGTAAGTGTCTCTGTGGTGCGAGGATTACTTTTAGAGATACGAGATCAGTGGTCAGACATACTGCAGGGGATGGGGAACCATAGACCCCCATTTCGATACATTCACTGAAATTAGAGCTGATTCACAGGCCATGCCAGATTGAAATCTCAAATTCCAACTTCAGGCTATCAGCCGTCTCCACAAGGTTGACCACAAACAAGGCCTTAGATTGCTTCTTGTTCTTTCCTGACATTAATAAAATGTTAAATACTTTTGAATTTATCAAAAAAAGGTTCCATTTAGACCTAATTGGCTTTTGGTTTTTGTTGAAATATTTGCCGTGAATCTGGATAACCCCTAGTTTGTTTCGTCTCTGACATGGCTGCATGTGCGGCATCACTGGTGCTCATGCAGTCAGCCACTGGTTTGCAAGCCCAGATTTGAATATTTACAGCTGGTTAGAGCTTATTGTGAAGGCGTTCATGGTTACAAAATTGGTTATCTTGCAGTTCATATTTGATCTGACCAGTCTCTGTGTGGTGTTGTATCAACATTCACTACTGTTTGAGGAGCACTTGCACAACTCTCACCGACTGCACTCACTTAACATTTGTTAACTGTCATAAATTCTTAATGCAAGAGTTTTGCTCGGGCTTGTCATATTCCAGACACATGGTCTAGCACTAAGATCGCTCTATGGGGCCTCATCTACAAGTCATCTACGACCATCTTAAGTCAATGTTATAGTTTGAGACACTGGAGTGTTATCACAGGAGTTACAATCACCATAGCACTAAGATCGAGCTCTATGGGGCCCCATCTACAAGTCATCTACGACCATCTTAAGTCAATGTTATAGTTTGAGAGTTACAATCACCATAGCACTAAGATCGCTCTATGGGGCTCCATCTACAAGTCATCTACGACCATCTTAAGTCAATGTTACAGTTTGAGAGTTACAATCACCATAGCACTAAGATCGCTCTATGGGGCTCCATCTACAAGTCATCTACGACCATCTTAAGTCAATGTTATAGTTTGAGAGTTACAATCACCATAGCACTAAGATCGCTCTATGGGGCCCCATCTACAAGTCATCTACGACCATCTTAAGTCAATGTTATAGTTTGAGAGTTACAATCACCATAGCACTAAGATCGCTCTATGGGGCCCCATCTACAAGTCATCTACGACCATCTTAAGTAGCAATGTTATAGTTTGAGAAGTTACAATCACCATAGCACTAAGATCGCTCTATGGGGCTACCATAAAGTCATCTACGACCATCTTAAGCCAATGTAAAGCATGGGCCCCATCTACAAGTCATCTACGACCATCTTAAGTCAATGTTATAGTTTGAGAGTTACAATCACCATAGCACTAAGATCGCTCTTGTGAAACTGAGCCTTCGTAGACAAGAGCGACACATTCATACCTCATGGAAACCAAAATCACCAATGTATCAACCTACCTTCCAATATATAGTAGCCGCTGCTGCCAAACTATACAAGTAGTAATTGACATAATTGTAGTGTAATTGCATGAATACTTCCACAAGAACATGTTGTAACTCTGATCCCTTCCTTGAATACCCAACTTGAACAGCATCCCTTCCTTGAATCCCCAACTTGAACAGCTTCATTATCAGCTTGCCATAGCATTTCAAAAATGGCATTTCTTTTTAAAAAATGTTTCCATCCAGTGTGTAGGGAAGGGTCTGGGATTTTCGTTGTTGACAAATTTAATGCTGTCACCACTTCGGAGGTAGAGACTTGTTTTCTCAGAAAGGTGTTGAACATATTTTTTTCCTTTCTTTTTCTTTTATGTAATGAATCCTTTATATTCAGCCAAATTTAATCCTTTTTCGTGTGTAAATCCCAATGCAAAATTATTTTTATATGATGATGATTTGGAAATTTGACGTGTGATTTCTGACATAATGCGTATTTCGCACACAGTGATTTTTATAGAAGTTACTTAATAAATATACCTCAAAATCCGACCCCCTTTCTAGCACCGCCAAGTGTTTTGTCTGCAAGGACTGTTACCGGAACCACAACATGTTCTTGCCTTTTGTAACTATGTAACAGTTAGTTCAAAATGTAACATTATCTTGCTTACATGTGTATAGAGTCTAATTCTACCTACGGTAAGTAGAACATTCTCCTTTCTTGCTAAGCCATCTATGCTTGCGCTAGTTCACCTCCATTGATGTTTATGTATTGATATACATTGTGGCCCTTTGTGAACATATTTCCTGACGTTGTCTCGACTCTTTCTTGTTCATAAATGCCGTAGATCAGGACGGGTGAAAACAAATATTCCAATAACATGCCCACTGGTTAAATCTCTTCTGGGCTGGTAAGTTTTTGAAGTTACCAGCCCAGATGTCTGGCTGGGTTTTTGGCTTATTTCATACACTGCCGTAGATACTGTATTGTGATTGAGGTACATGTGCTTAGCCAATTTGAGGTTTTACATTGCCAAAAGGTTTTCATCTTGTTTTTGCTGATTTTCTTGGCAATTACTTTACAATACAGTTTTATTGTGTGATTGTGCCCCAGTGATGTTTGGTAATTGTCATAAGATCAACCTTTAGTTTGTCTGGTTTCGTTATTTATATTATATTGTACCGGGTGTTAAACAACAAACACATTTAAACACTGATTTCAAATTATTAATGAAAACCATTTTGGACCAACCAAAATGCTGACCTGTCTGAATAAACGATAGTGTTTCAACAGTGTTCCTGCAGATAGCGTTGGAACCACCTCAGACATTTGATGTCTGTTGGGCATTGATATGACATTAATCACAAAGAAACAGTATACGAAAGACACGCTGAAAAATGTATAAACCTACTGTTGATAGTACAGCTTTTTTGGGGAGTAGATACCATGGTGCTACAGGGGCGGATGCAGCTTTTTGAGAAAGGGGGGATGCACACTATTGAGAAGTGGGGGTGGGGGGTGCACACTTCATTTTTACCCGAGTTTTAATGGTCATTGAACAATCTTTCAGGACAAAAGGGGTGTGTGCACCACTGCACCCCCCCCCCTCTGGATCCACCTATGTGTAAACAAAATTACAGGCTGCTTGTTTTCTCACTACCTTGAACTCTTGAACTGCCTGATAGATCTGATTTGACTGAGATTGCGTATCACACAAGATTGCTATTCTAACACATGAGAAAAGTTCCTTGCTTCTACTAATGCCATTAGGAACAGTTGTAGGAATATGTCTGTGCTTGGATCCTGCTGTTCTAACAGTCATAGTGCTCACTACTAACAATATTTGTATTCTTATTGAAACATCAATGAGGACTTATTCAGATGATTGACTTTTTAAAATATTTACTAAGAACTTTGAAAATTGATGTATGTGGATTTCATTGTCTGATGTGTGTGGATGAAGCCTAATATATAATTACAATTATTTTCTATTTTATGTTTGATTCAGTAATTTAATTCTGAAGACAAGTAATGGAGATTTCAAATTTACTTTCTCTTGAGATTTTTTTGTTCCAGACTGTTATTTACGAGTCACATTTATAGTGCTGGAATATTGCTGACAGTGACATTATGAGTTGTGTGCTTCTCTCGAGGGTAATTCAGTCTGATGTGTGCCTTTTTGTAGCAGTGTTACCGGAGCCGGTAGGCGAGGGATGACACTGCTACAAAGAGACGTACATCAGACCGTATTACCTGAGGGAGAAGCATACAATGTATTTATCTTACCGCCATGTTAAATGTACAAAATATCATCTTATTCTATTTGGAATATCGCTACCGACTAGATGACATGTAAAGAAAATGGCGTCTGCCTCTCGACTGGATTTTTAAAATCAGTGAAACATATTCTGAGAAACTTAAAACTGCTATTAAAATGGTTAATTATGTTTTTAAATTGAATGTGCAAACGATTTAGTGTATAAAATAGTTTATATAAAGCAGAGAAAGTCGATGAAATAAATGTCTAAATAGTGAACTAAAAAACAGCTAATCGAACGGTTTTCGAACTCCAGGCAATGCATGCGTCATATTTTGACGTCAATCGATTGTTAGCCATACAGCTTCTCGGCGGAGAGTTTGGCGGTTACCGTGGTAGCGGGTAATATTTTTTTCCTCCCTCCTGGGAGGGGTGACATGGAAATTTGTTAAAGCATCATTGACCAATGAAATTAAAGTATTTTAGATGAAGGTAAGATAATAAACAGTAAACAATAGATGAAGCATTTTAATGTGCCTATTGGGTCACAGAGAAGCCTATAGTGATGAAAGCCTTGTTCAGGTTTTACGAAAGCCCTGATGCGATATTCCTCTCGGATCTAACATTAGGAGCCTGTTTTAGTGAACACCTATTGACTTTGTTAAATGCAGTGTAAACCCTTACACATTTAATAGCTCTCATGTGCTATAGCAGTGTAGGAAAGATGTAGAAAATCTAGCCTGTCCACAGGACTGGCAGGTCAAATTTTTTACCAGTCCTGCCAAAATCTAGCCTGTCCTCCAAATATAAATAAAACACCTTCGGCAATAAATATTCAAAAAGGTTATAATCATTATATATATGTCATTGGTTTGCTAAAATTGACCCGACATGAGGACGGACTAGATATTTTTTTAACCCGTCCTCCACAAAATTCACCCGTCTCGGATGTTGGGACGGGCTATCTTTCCTACACTGGCTATAGTTGCATGAATACTGTGATTTACTAAGGGATATGAGTTTGAATCTCAGTTCAGAATACCCGCATCACAATGTGATTTCCTGGTCTACTCCCATTTGTCAGAACTCCCAATTGTGAGACTCCCAGTTATGAGACAGTGGAGTAGGTAATTAACAAAGAAAACACACCATACTCCCCTGTCTGATAGAATGGATTAACCCTAGCTAATTACTGATTTGCTATGTAACTGAATCTTTTGGAGGAAACTTAATGAAACTTTATAAGATAAATTGATTAACATACTCCAGTAAATGTCCTTAAAAATTAAACACTTTGATAATGATAATAAAATATGTTTAAACCAAAATGACTTTCAAACTTCATGATAGTCAATAATAATGTGTTATCATAATTTTACATATTCTTCTGAATAAATAAAATATTTAATGAACTATTTCTTCTTTGTAAATAAAATCTTTGATAATCTATTTCATTAAGCAACTCATCAATGAACTATGCCTCCTGTGGGTACTCTTCAACAACTGGGCTGATCCCACTTTCATTGCTCAGTGCACCATCTATGTGCACTGAAGCATTAATTAATGTGTCTGACAACTGGGAGTTCTCACAAATGGGGGGGACAACCGATTTCCTCCACCTTTTACTGTGATGCTGTGATGACTGAAATACTGTTGAAAAAAACTGACTCTGTACAAGAGGATAGAATTTTGTTGTCAGAATGAGTCATGGTATGGTTCTCGTCACATCACACAACCACATTTTCAAACGACATCGTCAAAAATAGCATGATTGTCATTGTCAAATGATACTTTTAGGTGATTGAAAGTAGATTAATTGTTGTGGCCCAGTGATTCCACTTAATGATATCACTCAAATCGGTAGGAAGCCCTATTCACTCACTCTCTAGATTAAAATAGTTCACATCAATGTCTTTAGCTTAAATATACGCATCTAAATATTTAATATTTTTCTTTTAAAATTGCATGGACATTGCATGATGGAGAATATATATATGTACACCTATCTATTTTGTTCATATTGTGTATTGCCATTACCATTGATGAATTATATTCTTTGAAATTCTTACTTGAATAACACTCTTGTAAAATAGCAAACTACAGAGTTGAATTCATTCATTCATTTGAATTTATTCAATGATAAATTTATTAAACTACGTGAAAGTATCTAAAGAAGTCACTTCATAAAGTGTGAGTGATAAGAAAGATTTGGAAGATTGGGTTTGCAGGGGCGGATACAGCTTTTTGAGAAAGGGGGCGGTGCACATTATTGAGAAAAGGAGGGGAGTTTCAATGGTCATTTAACAAACTTTCAGCACAAAAGGGGGGTAGCGCACCCCTGCGTCCCCCCTCTGGATCCGCCTATGGTTTGTTAACAGTACTTTATTCAAGCAATAAATGTCACAGAAAGTTCCTTATGTAAAAGGTATTTCTTGTAGAAAGTATATTATTTAACATGAAAAGGTAAGAGGCTCTATCTTGAAGTTTATTCTTGTTACATAATTAGTACTCTGGAAAAGGTCTTGTGTCATGTTTAACCATATATCCGGCTGATTAAGGATGTAATAATGTTCCCATTGTTTCAGTGTGCCATTGTACAGAGCAATCATAGCTCTAAGACTGTTCCAAGTCAATGTTAAGTTATAGGAGGTATGACAACCTTGGTGCTACGTCTGTCGTAGGTTTATGTTAAGGTATGGGAGGTATGATCATCTTAATGCTAAGACTTCATATATCTATGTTATGGGATGGGACCTATGATCATCTTTGTGCTACATCTGTCGTAGGCCTATGTTAAGGCATGGGAGGTACGATCACGTTAGTCCTACATCTGTCATATGTCTATGTTATGGGATGGGAGGTACGATCACCTTAGTGCTACATCTGTCGTAGGTCTATGTTAAGGTATGGGAGGTACTATCACCTGAGTGCTACATCTGTCGTAGGTCTATGTTATGGTATGGGAGATACGTCACCTTAGTGCTACATCTGTCGTAGGTCTATGTTATGGGATGGGAGGTACGATCACCTTAGTGCTACATCTGTCGTAGGTCTATGTTATGGTATGGGAGGTACGATCACCTTAGTGCTACATCTGTCGTAGGTCTATGTTAAGGTATGGCAGATATGATCATGTTAAGATATGGGACTTATGATCATCTTAATGCTAAGACTTTGTATGTCTATGTTAAGGTATGGGACCTATGATCATCTTAATGCTAAGACTTCATATGTCTATGTTAAGGTATGGGACCTAAGATCATCTTAATGCTAAGACTTTGTATGTCTATGTTAAGGTATGGGACCTAAGATCATCTTAATGCTAAGACTTTGTATGTCTATGTTAAGGTATGGGACCTATGATCATCTTAATGCTAAGACTTCATATGTCTATGTTAAGGTATGGGACCTAAGATCATCTTAATGCTAAGACTTCATATGTCTATGTTAAGATATGGGACCTATGATCATCTTAATGCTAAGACATCATATGTCTATGTTAAGATATGGGACCTAAGATCATCTTAATGCTAAGACTTCATATGTCTATGTTAAGGTATGGGACCTAAGATCATCTTAATGCTAAGACTTTGTATGTCTATGTTAAGGTATGGGACCTATGATCATCTTAATGCTAAGACATCATATGTCTATGTGAAGGTAATATATAGATTTTTCGGGTTGCCATCACTGACCTTAGCACTAAGATCACTTTGTACAATGGCACACTTGTCATAACAACAGAGTAAGTGTAATGTTCAGTTTAAATTGTTTAAAATCATATATTTTTATCCCCAGGCAAAAACTGTGAAGATTTACTCAATGACTGCACCCCATTTCCTTGTGACACTGTGGGGACCATTCGTTGCAACGATTTGTTCAAGGACTACCAGTGCACTTGCAGAGATGGATACTTTGGCAAGAACTGCTCCGTGAGTCTAGTACATATATGTTTTTATATATTCTCTAGAATTGTGGCAAGGGTTGCTCAGTTCTCAAGAGGGCACCATTGTCTCCATCACTTAGCTGGAATATTGCTCAGTGTAGTGTTAAACAAACCAGAAGCAAATATTCGATTGGCCATTAGTCTGCGACTCATAGACTTGTTCAGCCACTAATTGTCCATATAACGCCAAGACTTCTGAAATGATGCTATGTTCATGGTAAGTGGGGCAGTGGGGTAGCCTAATGGTTAAAGCGTTGGCTCGTCACGCTGAAGACCCGGGTTCGAATCCCCACATGGGCACAATGTGTGAAGCCCATTTTTGGTATCCCCTGCCGTGATGTTGCTGGAATATTGCTAAAAGCGGCGTAAAACCAAACTCAGTCAGTCATGGTAAGTAGTAGATGCATAAATGTTTGGCAGAGATCTTGTGTATGATGTTTACACGTGGTTTGTTATTGACATAAGACTTACCATATTATTCTATTCCAGGAAACGCTAATTGTGAGTCTTCGTTAGTTTAGTTTCAAATCATATATTCACAGTCCTCAGTGTGAAGATCTCAGCATATAGTCATTGCATGATAGATTCTTCTAAATAAAGGTCACAGGCACAAGTTCTGAAGTTCACTAGCATGTTTGTTGTCATATTCTTCTACTTGACAGGACCCAGTTCTACAAAGTAATGTCGGTGCTTCAAGTGCTCTAAGCCTATGTGGGGTGGTGGGGTAGCCTAGTGGTTAAAACATTGGCTTGTCATAACAAAGATCTGGGTTCGATTCCTGACATGGTTACAATGTGTGAAGCTCATTTCTGGTGTCCCCACTGTGATCTTGTTGGAATATTGCTAAAAAGCAGCGTAAAACCTTGTCACTCACTCACTCTAAGTCTATGTTAAAGAATGGTAGTTATGTTCAACTTAACGCTAAGATCCCATGCCACATAGTGGTCTTAGCGCTAAGGTCATTGTCTTATGACAGTTGTACTGTCACAATCACTTCATGAAAGGTTATTATTCATGTCACTCAAATATGAGATACTTTGTGAAAAGTCTTTGATGTCATGGAAACGAGGACTGACTATGTGCATGATGCATGATTGTGCATGAAATTGTGAACATGAATGTATTGTGTAATGTACAGTTATGAAAACTATATACCATTATACGCTTGCCTCATTTCTTGGTTCACCTAAATGCATATTTTTTTGTTGTTGATTTTTCCTGTGTCCATTTGCTACTTTTACCTTTTTTATACCCGTGAAGGTCCGGGTTAGAATAGTGATCTTCAGTAACCCATGCTCGTCGTAAGAAGCGATTAACGCGATTATTTGGATTATTTACAGACTGCTCCCATATAGCTGGAATATTGCTGAGTGCGGGCGTAAAACTCAACTCACTCACTCACTGACTCATTTTTACTTTTTAGCAACAGAAAACAAATGAAAGGGAAGTAAGCTATGACTTGCCATTCCACAAACACATTTCTTTAGCTGTTTTTGTTTTCTTGTCTGGCTCTTTTGACAATGATTTTGATTTAAAAACTTTATGCACTCATATATCAATGAAAAGTTTAGAGTAATTAAACAATTACATTTCAATTTTGAAATGGTGTTGAACAAAATACTTATGAATAACTATTGCATGTCTCTCCATTTTGTCACTAATTATGAAAAACGGATTTTATTTCAAAGACTTGATCCACTTGTAATTGTAAGAAGCAATGGTAAAGTAATTTTTTTTCACACATGAAATTGACTCACTATAACACAGCTTTTGTAAGCGACATCTCCTGATGACTCTTGTTCGTTTTGATGAGATGATATGCTGAGTGGTGTTTGGTTTGTAGGGTGTCATGGTTAGAACAGAACTTACGCATGTGCAGTGTTGCATCTAGGCAGCGTAATTGCGTAATTTACTCGGTTTCAGCCTATGAAACCGCTATTTTTATTTTGGATGCGTCACATGTCACTCAAAATTAATATTATGTACGCACTTTTGTAATTATTATTATTTTTATTATATTTACAAGTATCGAAGGTTTGAAATGACAAAGTGAAACAAATTTCGGAAAAAAACCCAAAGAGATATAATCTATAATTAATATTATGTATGCACTTTTATTATTATTATTATTTTTATTATATTTACAAGTATCGAAGGTTCGAAATGACAAAGTGAAACAAATTTCGGGAAAACAAAAAAAGAGATATAATATTGAAATCTGTGAAGAAGTAATAGTCCTGATTTCCTGTCAGATATCACAACTCAGTTGATACCCACATTTGAAAAGTTGATGAGTTGCATACCCCACATATGGTAATTTCAAGATGTCATACTGCATCTGTTGCGAAGGGTCAGTGACTCAATTTATGGTGTGTCATTGAACACATGGACATTGATCATTGTTCATAACATTAGTCACTGCTTTGTTTTGCCCAGACTTCATTATTTACAGGCCGCATGCTTATCATAGTCGACCATGTTTAGAACTGGTCTGCAGCGTTCAATGCTAGTCTTTGAAGGCAACTTATGGATAGGGTGCCAGACTCTGAGTACAGTGTCATGTTCCTTGCAATACAGAAGTTGACATCCATAAATTCTCTGTCTGTCAGTGCTTACCGAATGAAGAGAAGCACAACAATTATAGATGCAAGGGCCCACTTTTGTCTGTCTCACAGTCCCTGAACCACATTATTTTCCCTACTGCCAAGCCCTATCTTCAGTGCTAAAGCCCTGAATAAAGCAAGCAGAGCTCCAGATAAGCTGCGTATTTGCGTAACATACGCAATAGAAAAGTTGAAATACGCAAGAAAAGTAATTGCCAGCGTATGAAAAAACACAATATTTACGTATATGCTATGTCAAAATAACAATGTTTATTTACCCAATACATCAAAATCATGTTGCATATCGTATCATTCAAGCCAATCGAAATTAAAGTTTTTCCATCTCTAAATATTCGCGATTAAAACAGTCTGGAATAATTCTAAACGCAATTTAAATGTGCAACAGAGATAGACTACCAATCGCAGTTTCTTAACCCTTCAATGATTGGTCCATCTATAAATAGCGACCAATCAAATAGCTGTTTTCTTTCTGTAAACAAATCGATAATGGTGAGCTAGTGTTGTCGAAAGCTTCCACATGCTCAAAGTAAACTATCTATTTTGTTACGCTTTACAAACAGAAAACAACTTGCTAGATGAATTAATAGGCAAGTCCTTAGACTAACAGCTAGTTGTTTAAATGAACATATGTTACTGAAAAAAGTTCATAGTAAAAAAAAAAATATATAATGAGAAGGAGCCCTGAGACTTTCTTCATTTTCAGAAGCCGATTAAATCCAGACTTGCCACATTTTCTAGACTTGCGTGGCCTTTCTTGGATATACAGTCAAATCCCGATGAGTCGAATCGCGGGGGACCAAGTAATAAATTCGACTTATCAATGTATTCGAGACATAGGTATGTCTATGAGGGTAGAAAACAAGATGATCCAGTCCTAATTCCTCTGCCTAAGCATTTGTTTATCTAATGATTTCCATATCACTAATAGGGGCACCTTATCAGTTCCAGTCTGATTAGCACAGACAGTGATTTGCGTAAAATCACTAATCTGCCTTTTGAACTCACCCGAAATACGAAAGGTGTGAGCCGTGCTGGTTTGTTAATTGGATCAGTTTGCTACACCAATCAACTTCTTATTGACTGACTTCAACTTATGTATACAAGATTGCTGTTGTTTGAATCTCATGGGACCAAATTTCTTTCTCGAGTCATCGTGTGTATTTATGAGATGAATTCGTGTAACCGGTATTCAAATGATGACAACTATAACAGGGAAAGGTCGGGACCAACAGGTACTTCGAGTTATGCATAATATTCGAGACACCGGCATTCGACTCATCGGGATTTTACTGTATTTGCTTCAGGGTTTGTACGACAGACTAGCAAGTCCTGTGTTTCACAACCAGAATCAATTGCCGGTAATATTTTAAATGAACTTGTAACATTAGCTATTCACGGCGTGGAAGTGAAACAACACGATGGGGACAAGGTTTTGAAAAAAAAATTATCTGTTAGAGTGAAGACATGGCTGTTATTATCATCTAATAGCCATCTTGATATCTTGTTTTACACCAAACGGATGTAGACTAAGGCACATCTTTTTTTCTTACAGCACAAGTGGATAAAGCTGTATTAGCTATTAGCTTTAATTTAGCATTGTTGGGAGGATTTTATCTTATTTTATTATTGAATAAAAAAATGTCGCATTTGAAATGAATACCCAGATTTTAGAAAGATGGTGGGTATCTAAAAGTATAGATACCCACTTGAAATTAGAAATACGCACTTAGTTTCAAAAGTTTGGGTATCATTCCCACATGGCCAAAAGCTTATCTGGAGCTCTGGCAAGTCTAGATTTCCTCAGGTTCAGGATCTCTGGTCTCACTGGGGCTCCTGTTCAATTTAAATGGGCTTGTTTGTTACTATCAAAAATATATATATATATATGCAGAGACTAAGCGTTAGTCTAGGGCTCACTTGTACAAGCAATCTAACAGCCATCGTTATCGTAACTCATATAATCCAACATAGACTTACGATAGACTTACTTGACTTAGTAGTCTTAACTCCTTGAGGAACACACTGGGCCTCAACAGTTATCCAGAGACTTAAGATAGGCATAGCACTTGAAGATCAGGTTGTGCCAGTAGGCCAGGTTCTGAAAGCTTTAGAAATCAGGAACCAAAACAGTCAAAATAACATAGTCGTGTCCTTATTTGTGGGCCAGTTTGATTTCTCATGTTGTTTCTGTAACTGCTTGCAGAAGGGAGATACCGATTGTGAGAGTTTCCCATGTCGCCATGGCGGCACCTGCACCGACATTGGCACCAACGCCTACTCCTGCAGCTGTCCCAACGGCTTCACCGGCACGAACTGTGAGACCAGGATCGACTACTGTGCCAGCAATTCGTGCATCAATGGGGGCACCTGCATCAACTCAGACACGACTTTCATTTGCATGTAAGTCACACTTTACAAGTTTACACTTTTTGTGGGGCCATTATTTGATTTTAATTGGACCCCCAAAAAGCTATATTTAACAGGGTGAGTGCTGTAAGTAGAGGTTTTAAATAGGGCTGTTAGATTCACTTACATTATTATTTAAAAATTGATTCCAGGGAAGACACAATCTGTGTTTAGTGATCAAGTCAGTATTATAATTCATCAAGCCTGACTTGGAGTCAGTATCTTCCCCCACCCACCATCTCACTGAATACATTGCAGGTGATTCTATCTCATACGATTATAGGGGCGGTGGGGTAGCCTATAGGTTAAAGCGTTCGCTCGTCAGGCCGAAGCCCCGGGTTCGATTCCCCACATGGGCACAGCTTGTGAAGCCCATTTCTGGTGTCCCCCGCCGTGATATTGCTGGAATATTGCTAAAAGCGGCGTAAAACCAGGCTCAGTCAGTCAGTCATACGATTATATCCATCTGTTTAAAAACATGGCACAACAATAAATGAAATACTTATTCCTGATAATTTATTGGGAAGCGAAAGTATTGCATTGTTCTGATGGACAATGTCATTTCATATTGTTGATTACAGAGTTCTTGTGTTAATGATGAAGTAGGCAGTCTGTAACAATATTAGGTTTGAAATTGATATTTAAATTCATTGACTTCAGGATTTTTTGTTTGCTTATGGAGGTAAATTGGGACATCATTATTGGTGACACGCATATTTACGTTTATTAACTTCAATGTGTTTTTGAGTTTATGGAAGTATGATAATTAAACAAGATGTCTGCTACTGGTAACTTCAAAACTTTTCAATGGCAATTTGTTTTCAGCTGCCCGCCTGGCTTCCTTGGGTTGACCTGCAGCGGTGTGTATGACATCTGCTCCATCTCCAGGCCATGTCTCGGCCCTGGCAGCAGCTGTAACAACAACGGCAACACTGCGACCTGTCAGTGTAGTACAGGTATGTGACACTTACAGTAACTGCTGCAAAGGGCCCTCAACTGACATTCAGTCTCTGGAAACATATGGGGGCTGTGGGGTAGCCTCGTGGTTAAAGTGATCACTCTTTACGCCGAAGACCTGAGGTTTTGTTCCCCGCAATGTGTTGAGCCCATTTCTAGAGTAGCCAGTCATGAAGTGGGCGGTGGGGTAGCCTAGTGGTTCAGGTGTTAGCTCGTCACACTGAAGACCCAGGTTTGATTCACCATATGGGTACAATCTGTGAAGCCCATTTCTGGTGTCCTCCGCCGTGACAATGTTGGACTATTGCAAAAAGCGGCGTAAAACCATATTCACTCACACTCACTGGAAGTGCCACAAGAGATATCATATCATATATCCAATCACTCACTCAGGTCAGGAATATGTAAAATTTACATCCTTCTAAAACAATGCAGGCTTTGCCCTGTAAGTAAATCTTGATACCTTCTTGCTCAGTCATCTATGATCTGGAAAATTGCTGTAAGAGTTGCCTCCCTTAATGATGCAGGGATACAGCGATCATGGATTGATCCCAGAGTCTCCCAGATCATAATTCTTGTATTTTCAGCACCATACTCTTGCTTTTGGTTACTGCATCACTTCCACATTTTCTGCACACATTAAACTGACATTTTGTTCAATGAGGCATCATCTCAGCTATTTTCATGACCGCCTCCGTGGTGTAGTGGTTAGAGCGTCCGCCCGAAGAGCGGAAGGTCGCGGGTTCGATCCCCGACCGCGTCATACCAAAAGACGTAAACATATGGTACTTGTTGGTCCCTGCCTGGTGCTCGGCATTAATGGGTACAACAAGGACTGGTCGGCTCGGAGTCAGTATAATGTGTCTGAGTGTGGTATTCATGCTTCACTGCGGCATGGTATCTCAGTGAGCTAGCACTATAAAACCAGCTTAAGTCTGGGCTAGTACAAGCAGCCGCACATAGACATGCATGCACGTTGTCATATGAGCGAAATATTCTCAAGCACACGTTAAACCCAATTTCACCTCACCTCATCTGTATTTTCAGGTTACGATGGCGACAACTGTGAGCAGAGGACGTCTCAGTGCATTGCAAGCTCTTGTGAGAATGGAGGGACGTGTAACGACAACCTTGGAGCTGCCCGGTGTACTTGTCCTGCAGGTAGGGAGAACACCTCACCTCAATGTCTTCTTGATTGCAGAGCAGAATAAGCCCCAGTGGATCATGCATCTGCATGTGAAACAGGAATCACTGATGCAATTCCAGGAATGAAAAGGGCCCCTAGTGGAACACGTTTCTGTGTCACCGTGGTGATTCCAGGAAAGAACAGTTCGCCTGTACCCAAGTTTTGTCTCCCTGGTACATCATGCTTGTTGAATGTACTAGTATTCAGTCAGCTGTATTTAACTCCCATGGGAATTCCCTTTGGACGTGGTCTCTAATAACCTGTTCTTGCCATACAGGGCAACTCAATCAACACTGACTGAGTTGGGTTTTATGTCTCTTTTAGCAGTATCACGGCGGACTCAAAAGATTTGTCAGATCAATGACATGACTGATAATGAACATTGCCTGTAACAGAAGTCACTGGTTTGTCTGTTCAAGATTATTTACAAACCATCATCATTTTGCTTAATATTGACAAATGCAGTATTAAACAGAAACAAAACGTTCTTATGATATGCTGAGAACTGAGCAGACTGCTTGGACATAGTTGTATGCAGTAAGAAACTAATTTGATCCGTTCATAGAGTTTTGTCTCATCCAGGTTAAAAATATTACAACAAATTTGATTGGTTCAGAGAGTATTTGCCACATCCAGGAACAAAAGAGTACAACAATTTTGATTGGTTTAGATAGTATTTGTCTCCTCAGGTACAAAAGAGTACAACAATTTTGATTGGTTCAGAGAGTATTTGTTACATCCAGGCACAAAAATTTCAACAATTTTGATTGGTTCAGAGAGTATTTGTCTCATGCAGGTACAAGTGGTGACCGGTGTCAGACCAACACTGATGACTGTGACAGCGGCCCATGCCCTGCAGGATCTGTGTGTGTGGATGGCATCAATGCCTATACTTGTCAATGTCAGCCAAACAGGATCGGGGGCGACCTGCCAGAAAGGTAATAATCCCAGCTTCTTAGATTCTTACTACTTACAACATTATCAAGCAATTAACAATTTCCCAATATGGTTCCAGTGAAATGTTTTACAGTCGTTGGCAGACTTTTATCATCATCATCATCATCATCATCATCATCATCATGGATATGCAACATGTTAAGCTAAATAATCCTGCATCTCTAACAATTCCAAATATTATTATCTAAGATGCAGCATGCCCACTCTGTTTCAGCTGTGTCATCAGATTTTGATGTTGCGTTCCCCGGGCCAAGCACGTACCTTGTTGACGCCCTGTCAACACCCCAGAGACTTGGGTCTCAGTCTCTCTCGCTGTCTGTGTGGGTCCGGTACACTGCCCAGACACCCCAGGGGATCATCGCAACACTGTATGGACTGAGGTAAAAGTCTTCTGCTGATGAGTGTTCATATATTTCAAATCAAAAGACACAGGAATGAGATAGTATTTGATATCCAAAATCATTCCATCAACTTTCTCAGTTTTTAAACTGTAATAAGAAGTGTCTTCAGAGGAAAAAGTACAGCTGACCAGTAACAGTGGAAAGAGATCAGTGAAACCATTCTGATAGCATGGTATCCGATAATGTGCTTGCAAGCATTCTGATGCAGTTTGTTCTGGGACACGTCGCAGGATTTTACCTATACTGGTGAAGTTCAGGGATAGAATTGGTCTTTAGCAACCCATGCTTGTTGTAAGAGGCTACGAACAGGATTGTATGGTTAGCTCGCTGACTCACTGACATGTCATCGTATCCCATTTGTGTAGATCAATGTTAATGATATGATGTGGCGGTGGGTGGCCCTGTGCGTAGAGCTCAGGTCACAATCAGTTGAAGTTAAGCAACCTTGGTCGCGGACAGTCCTCGGATGGGTGACCGTGTTTGGCAGCTTCAGTTTCTAGGACTTCAGTCCTGCCCCACAACGAAGCACATGTGACGCATGTGGTCTCACCTTAGGCAAGTGAGTTTGTTCAAAATTGCCTCTGTCCACCCTGCAGTAAAATTGGGTACCTGGTATGATACGATGGTAGTCTGAATTTGAACCTTGAGCACCTGACAGGCGACCGGTTGTATTCTCCACATGGAGTGTTCTGTACTCGTTGACCAGGGGTAATATGTCAGTGCTTTGAGCATGCAATGTGCATGGATAAACGCGCAATATAAATGGACTATTATTATGTCTTCAGTAACCCATGCTTGCCATAAGATGCGACTAACGGGATCAGGTGGCCAGGCTTGCTGACTTGGTTGACACAAGTCATTGTATCCCAATTGCATAAATTGATGCTCATGATGTGAATCATATCACTGCCTGGTCCTCGATTATAGTATAGTTAATTGAGTCTGTGATACTATTGGCATTGTAAAATGCCTTCGATATAATACTGCTGTAAGAAAAAATAGCGATAGTTTGATGTATATCATTGCCGTACAAATTATTGACTTAATGCATTTTGGGCGGTGGGGTAGCCTAGTGGTTAAAGCGTTCGCTCGTCATGCCGAAGACCCGGGTTCGATTCCCCACGTGGGTACATTGTGTGAAGCTCATTTCTGGTGTCCCCCGCCGTGATATTGCTGGAATATTGCTAAAAGCGGCATAAAACCAAACTCACTCACTCACTTCATGCATTTAGGGACCATTAGCAATATTACAGACTCCCAGAATATGAAACAGTCATACATGAATAGAAGCTTTGGAAAAATGACCTTGATATAACCTTGACCTTTCAGCACCAGTGCTGTAGACAACACTGCTCAGGAGTTGCTGAGGCTGGAGAAGGACCGAGTGATGGTGAAGAATCCAAGCAACACAGGGCAGGCTGAGATCTCCTTCACCTCCCTGGATGATGGTCGCTGGCACCACATCGTCTTGGTGTGGGACTCGTCCAGCCGTCAGTTGTCGATGTACATTGATGGGACTTTCATCAACGAGCAGCAGTATGGCTGGAATACCAACATCCCATCTTAGTAAGATACAACTCAGTCATACTTTGTGACATTAGTTGATATGGTTGTGGGGCGGTGGGGTAGCCCAGTGGTTAAAGCGTTGGCTCGTCACGCCGAAGACCCGGGTTCGAATCCCCACATGGGTACAATTTGTGAAGCCCATTTCTGGTGTCCCCTGCCGTGATGTTGCTGGAATATTGCTAAAAGCGGCGTCAAACCAAACTCAGTCAGTCAGTCAGTGATATGATTGTGAGGTGACATTGTTTAATGAATGGACTCCAAGTTATGTCTTTTGACCAAAAATATTGTTCCACGACATGGTTAGTCATGTGCAATGATGGGGCTCAATTTAAGCATTTAGAACTTGCACTGGTGCCAATTGAAAGTGCAAAATGCAACCTCATATAAATTTACACCAACTTGCGACCAGTGCTTGTTAATATTTTGTCACTGAAAGAACGCAGACTTCAGCAGGAAAACAGAATGATGAGGAACTGGCTCGGAGCAGTGACTCTAGAGACGACACAGACTGTTACTGTTGATATCGTGAAGTATTATGAAGAGAGATAAAATGCTCTTATCAGACCAAGAATGTTTTTGTTACAACTATCAGTACCAAAACTCAAGTGCCTTTTCTAATTTTATATTGAGCAGAAGGTGCAACATGGTTTGTCTGGTGAACAAGGTTACCTTGCCACTGGGTGCAAGTACTGATTTTAATGGTCAAGCTAGGACCTCGGCTAATCTGTGAGATCTGCTTACCTATGTGCATATACAGTATTCGATTCCCCACATGGGTACAATATGTGAAGCCCATTTCTGGTGTCCCCCACCGGGATATAGCTGGAATATTGCTAAAAGCGGCATAAAACTAAACTCACTCACTCACTCACTCATATACAGTACCTTCTTGTCCTTAAGTCTTCTACTGTCTTGTTCCAGCATTTGGCTTGTTCTGGATGGAACCTATGACTCCGCCAAGGGAACTGTGGATCAATCCCTCGGGATGGTTGGCAGGATAAGCCGCCTGTCCCTGGTGCCGCGGATACTGACCACTTCAGAGAGGGAAAGCCTGTACAGTAACAAAGACCTTACTCTGTCCGACACCATCTTGGGCTTCACCTCAGACATGATCGATGGCATCAATGGTCTTGTGGACTACAACAGTGAGCTGACTGCTGGGGTGTGTGTATCAGGTTCACAGGGCTGCAGGACTCTTGATACAGGTTAGTAGTGTAGTCACTCGTGAAGATCCGGGTCAGAATTAGTCTTCAGCAACCTGTACTTGTCTACCCGTGAAGATCTGGGTCAGAATTAGCCTTCAGCAACCTGTACTTGTCTACCCGTGAAGATCCGGGTCAGAATTAGCCTTCAGCAACCTGTACTTGTCTACCCGTGAAGATCCGGGTCAGAATTAGCCTTCAGCAACCTGTTCTTGTCTACCCGTGAAGATCTGGGTCAGAATTAGCCTTCAGCAACCTGTACTTGTCTACCCGTGAAGATCCGGGTCAGAATTAGCCTTCAGCAACCTGTACTTGTCTACCCGTGAAGATCTGGGTCAGAATTAGCCTTCAGCAACCCGTACTTGTCTACCCGTGAAGATCTGGGTCAGAATTAGCCTTCAGCAACCTGTACTTGTCTACCCGTGAAGATCCGGGTCAGAATTAGCCTTCAGCAACCTGTACTTGTCTACCCGTGAAGATCCGGGTCAGAATTAGCCTTCAGCAACCCGTACTTGTCTACCCGTGAAGATCCGGGTCAGAATTAGTCTTCAGCAACCCATGCTTGTCTACCTGTGAAGATCTGGGTCAGAATTAGTCTTCAGCAACCCGTATTTGTCTACCCATGAAGATCCGGGTCAGAATTAGCCTTCAGCAACCCATGCTTGTCTACCCGTGAAGATCTGGGTCAGAATTAGCCTTCAGCAACCTGTACTTGTCTACCCGTGAAGATCTGGGTCAGAATTAGCCTTCAGCAACCTGTACTTGTCTACCCGTGAAGATCCGGGTCAGAATTAGCCTTCAGCAACCTGTTCTTGTCTACCCGTGAAGATCTGGGTCAGAATTAGCCTTCAGCAACCTGTACTTGTCTACCCGTGAAGATCCGGGTCAGAATTAGCCTTCAGCAACCTGTACTTGTCTACCCGTGAAGATCCGGGTCAGAATTAGCCTTCAGCAACCCGTACTTGTCTACCCGTGAAGATCTGGATCAGAATTAGCCTTCAGCAACCCATACTTGTCTACCCGTGAAGATCCGGGTCAGAATTAGCCTTCAGCAACCCGTGCTTGTCTACCCGTGAAGATCCGGGTCAGAATTAGCCTTCAGCAACCCGTACTTGTCTACCCGTGAAGATCCGGGTCAGAATTAGCCTTCAGCAACCCATGCTTGTCTACCCGTGAAGATCTGGGTCAGAATTAGCCTTCAGCAACTCATGCTTGTCTACCCATGAAGATCCGGGTCAGAATTAGCCTTCAGCAACCCATGCTTGTCTACCTGTGAAGATCCGGGTCAGAATTGGTCTTCAGTAACCCATGCTTGTCTACCTGTGAAGATCCGGTCAGAATTAGTCTTCAGCAACCCATACTTGTCTACCCGTGAAGATCTGGGTCAGAATTAGCCTTCAGCAACCTGTACTTGTCTACCCGTGAAGATCCGGGTCAGAATTAGCCTTCAGCAACCTGTACTTGTCTACCCGTGAAGATCCGGGTCAGAATTAGCCTTCAGCAACCCGTGCTTGTCTACCCGTGAAGATCTGGGTCAGAATTCGCCTTCAGCAACTCGTACTTGTCTACCCATGAAGATCCGGGTCAGAATTAGCCTTCAGCAACCTGTACTTGTCTACCTGTGAAGATCCGGGTCAGAATTGATGTTCACGAACCCATGCTTGTCTACCTGTGAAGATCCGGGTCAGAATTAGCCTTCAGCAACCCGTACTTGTCTACCCGTGAAGATCTGGGTCAGAATTAGCCTTCAGCAACCCGTGCTTGTCTACCCGTGAAGATCTGGGTCAGAATTCGCCTTCAGCAACTCATACTTGTCTACCCATGAAGATCCGGGTCAGAATTAGCCTTCAGCAACCCATGTACTTGTCTACCTGTGAAGATCCGGTCAGAATTGGTGTTCACGAACCCATGCTTGTCTACCTGTGAAGATCCGGGTCAGAATTAGCCTTCAGCAACCCGCACTTGTCTACCCGTGAAGATCCGGGTCAGAATTAGCCTTCAGCAACCTGTACTTGTCTACCCGTGAAGATCCGGGTCAGAATTAGCCTTCAGCAACCCGTACTTGTCTACCCGTGAAGATCCGGGTCAGAATTAGTCTTCAGCAGCCCATGCTTGTCTATCTGTGAAGATCTGGGTCAGAATTAGTCTTCAGCAACC